ATTTTAAAAAAAAGAAAAGACACAAAATGGTCTGTCTTTTTACATCAAAATAGAAGTTTGGTACATTCTTAGAAAAACTGATATAGGGAAGAATGGGATGGTGAAAATCTTTTTAGGATTAAATACTAAATACAAAGTATTTTTAATGATCTTTCCTGGTTATTAAAAGTAATAAGATTCTGCACAAAAAGGGCATATTCTACTTTCAGAATATGGTAGCCGGAGCGGCACATTGTAATATACATCAGCAATTTGTAACATACGGCAACACATTATTAATTCTGGAAGTTTTCATCTTTGTAAACATCAAGGTACATTGTATTTGTTTGCAGTCAATCTAAGCAGATGAAATGATCCGAGACAATGAGTATAAGGGTGAGGGAATAACGATGTAATCTACTCACCTTGCACATATCGGGAGGGGGCGCAATGCGGGGCGCGCTCAGGGAGACGCACCGACGCCATCTGCCCCCGCCTGCAGTTTAAGATAGAAGATGAATGGTGGAAGGACAACATTGTTATGGTTGTGTATAGTGCACTGGCAAAATATAAATCTTTATATATATAATTCTTCTGTATGTGTGTGTCAATGAACTCCTCCTAAACGGCTGGACCGGTTTTATCGATTTGTTTCGTGTCTTCAGGTAGATTCCAGAATGGTTTAGATTCACAATTCGGTCCACTACAATGATTTTTTTTATTTTGTTTTGTTTATATTTTTTTGTCGGATTAAGTTGTGTGTACAGGACAAAGTCTGTCGGTCTGCTAGTTAGTAATATAAAATTACACTCATCAAAATCAAACAAGGGGTTGTAATTTATGGATGAGCTGACCAATTCATGACAGCAAATACTGATATGTAATTTAACCAAAATAGGAAGGCTTTTTTTGTTTTCTGTTAGTAGTGATTGTGATCTTTTGGTACAAATATCACATTCAAAAAATATTTTTGTTTTGTTAAAACAAGTTCAATTGGCATCCTAGGATAATTATTCCTACTGGATAAGGCAGCATAGAATGTAACAGTGTATAGAAAGTAAAATTTAAGACCAAGACTTTAATAGTTTCCTTTCTTTCATTTTTATAATACTATAATACTGATAGAACAAGTCATTGCATTAAAAATAATAATAAATAATAAATATTTTAGGACACATTTTTACACAACATTTTGTCCCAAACTAAGCAATGCTTGTACTATGGGTACTAGAAAACTGATAAACATACTTAAACATACTTTTCTTTTGTAAATAAATACATATTATAGATATATAAACACCCAGACACTAGAAAAACACTATGTTCATCACACAATGTTTTTCCAGTAGTGGGGATCGAACCCACAGAGCCACAGGACACAAAGGACCATGGGTATATTGTAATATAATAATTAATTTAGGTAAAATGTAACAAATGACACAATGTAAGTTATAATTGATAGTAACCGCTAGATCTGAGAAAAAAAATAATTTTTAAGTTTCATATAATGAAAATCTGCTATTACTTTGTGTACAATATTCATTAGAGCCTAATATTTGTAGTTTGAAACTTACGTTTTTACTTCAATAGACACATCACAAATACATTTAAGATGTAGAGTGGCCACACTTTCTTAAAGCAAGTGTGCAATGGAAAATTTATACAATGTGATGGGCGTTTTTAGTTATTATGTTTTACTGATTTAATTTCTGACAAATATACAAAAATCAGCTAAAAACATAAATCAATTAGCCCACCTTCCAACACATAAAATTAACCACAATCCTCAAAAATATTATAAATTCCCCCGTTTTATCAAGATATGTTTTTTTTTAATGTGAAAAGTCGTCAAGCGAGCAGACGGTTCACCTGATGTTAAGTGAATACCGCCGCCCATGGACATCTGCTACACCCGAGGGTTCCAGATGTGTTGACAACCTTTTGAAAATTGGGCTCCGGCCACCTCACTCATCAGACGAAACTCGAAAGTATTATACTTCCACTTTACGCCCCGGTCTTCTGTGAGGTTGTGGTACTTACCTGAATGAGCCAACCCATTCATGCAACAGCCGAGGCTGCTGCGTGGCCCAACCACCGTATTTATTTCAACAATCAAATCAAGAAAACAAAAGTATTACTTACTTTAAAATGATTTTAATATGGTTAAAAAAAGTGAAATGGAATTTTAAATCAGTATTTTGAAAATTTTGCAGTGGGCACATTACACATCAGTCTTGGGTGCAGGGTGGGGTACTACTGATGTAGAGGTTCAACATTTATTTATCTCAAATTAATAGGTTAGATTTATTAGGTGTACATTTTTATATAGGACTAACTGGCCCGGCAATCATTATTTGGCCATATAAATCATTTGTAGGGTAGAAAAAAATGTTTGGGTTGGACCACCCTTATCACTTAGCGGTATAAAAAATAGATTACGACCGATTCTCAGACCTACCAAGCTTAGCTTCTCGATCAAGCGAAATCGAAGGATATAAGAAATAATTTCATTAAAAATTATTTTTAAAACCACCAATAAAAGTATACAGGATTAGCAATTAAGGGAAAAAATACTATTGAGGAATACCCTCATAACCTGCTATATGTCAGTTTTACTTCGTCTATAATTACAATATTGGCCATTGGTAATTGTAAAAAGAGAACTATAAGATTCTTAAACGATATAACAGCATTTAATCAATTAGTTACGTTGACATTTTTTAAAATTATTTTAGAAATATTTGAAGTGAGTACTTAAGTAACTTTGAATTTTTAAAACGCAGTAGGTATTTTGCAGAGGCCCTATTGATAACATAATGACAAGACAACAACGAAAACACAAATTTCGTCACATAGAACTGTTTATTACTCGAACTTAGATTATTTAGAGACTCTTAAATATTGGATGGCGTAGCTTGTGAAAACAGCAATATGCGGTAAAAATACTAACACCTAATATTATAAGGGTACAGCCATTTCGGTTTAATTTTCTAAAATCAAATGCATAAAAAAACCATATAAATCAGAATACTGCATAATGTTTCAAATAGTTGATAGTAATTTTATGCTCACCATTTTATCTTTCTTAAATCTTATTTTACAATTTCGCATACACAAATAATATATGATTCGAAATAACACAACAAATCTCCCACCCTCAACCGCTTGCAAAAATGATTGAAACCACAGATAACAATTTATTTCAAGACTGGTAGTCATAAACAAGTTATATTTTTTTGTAGGCTAGTTTGCTGAGGTGATGCTATTATTCTTGCGGCTTTGATATCTTGCGTCTGAAGTACACAAGCAGTTTTGCGGACGCAGGATAATAACGCATCTGGTGCATGACGTCGAAGTGATGACGACATCTGCTCCGCTGCACCTCCGCGACCTCTTTAAATGAAAGATGTATAATTCATATTACTAGGTATGAAGGGGAGCGGGGTGGAGGGTGCACGACACGAACCAAGGAACCCCTGAGATTGAGGTTTCAGCCTCTTCACCGCGATTAATAGTGGAATCCATCTGGAGGAAAAAGATAAGTTTGCAAATACGATTTTATTTACAGATATAAATATAACTACTTCGAACAATCAACTTAACTGCCTTGCATTGCTTGTAAAATAATATAGTCTTGGAAACTAAATGAGAAGGGATTTTTTTTTAAAATTGTTCTCCACAAAGTTTAACAATCAATTTAATAAATCGGTAAATCTGACGAAGAGAAATCGAACGACTAAAATATTATGACCAAAAAAACGACGGACGAAACGCAAAATAAAATATAAACGATCCTCGGCTAAAAGAATGTAATTAAAGCGAATGTCAACTACTGTTGACATTCGCTTAAATAACATTCCTCCCTCCACTATCCTCTTCTCTTCCTACAATACATATTCTGTTATGATCTTTTTAATAATTTGTTTACGATGTGGCGACTCATTTGCTACTGTGTAGCACCGCTCTTATCTTTTACACCCTTACTCTCATCGGTCTAGCATTACCCTATTATCGACAAATTTCTATAGCAACGAGTGACAATAAAAGATGATGTTTTTCTCAACACGGCTTGTTCTTTGTACTGCATCTTAATTATTCCTTCCTGCCGGCTCCCAAAACGTAATGGAAGTTAAAGTATAGCTTTTTGTATTATCATCTTTAATATAGCAGATATCATCTTTCATATAACGCTGAGTAACTAGCGTAATATATCATAATGGGAGCATAGGAGCATAGGAGCTCATGGTTCAGCTTATGAAAAATCACGTCTTTTAACTTCAAGGCTTAAGCAAATAATACATGGAAGAATTTCTATTGATCTTTTGTTGACCACTCATCCTAGCTGCTACCGGATCGTTATCTGATCTAGACAGCGATGTCCTTCACGTACATAAACACTTTTGTGATTATTATAGCATATATCTTTATTTCATTGTTATGCAAATGATTCTCATAAAATTGAAATAAAGTTAACACCTTAAAACTATCTAGAAAAAACAGAATACATAGAGTATATCTAAACCGTTTGCTACATCACCCATAAAGAAATAGTTTCTTGGAGCTTTGGACAAATCATTTTATTGATAAAATACTTTACTGATATTATATACGAACATCGTAGTTGCAATTTTACATTTATCATATGCTAAGGAGCGAAATAACGGTATTTACTATTTTGTTCATGTCATGGTCATGTCATGTTCTTTTAAGCTGACAACACTAGGTTATATTTGTCAAAATATGAACAATTTTTATATTTAATAAATGTAATAAATAAGTGTTGTGGTAAAACTTAATTGTATATCAGTAAGGTAATTGAAATACGGAGTTATTTGTTACTAATATTTTTTAAAATTTGTATGACATTAAAATCTGTTTATCTTCCTCTAGTGATGTAAGAATTGCTATATCCCATAATTTAAATACAGTTCGCATGTATTTGACCATAAAAATTACGTATATTGATCCACATAGTGAATTCTGTGTCATAATTTTAGCCCATATCTCCATTATTCTTGCAGATGTTGAAATTTAACGGATTGATAGTTTGGAGGTTAGGAACAAGAGCGATTATAAGGAAGTACTCCAACCCTAGCGCGTCTGTTATTACAGAAAAGTTTGACGCTGCAAAAGGTGTATCCGAGAAGAGCGACAACCTTTCGACAACAGAAGGCAGAGAGAATGCAGGTATAAAGCTATATTTAAGAAAACCTTGAGAGAATTCATATTTTTGCCAATTAATGTATTGAAATTATTTTGTATCAATGTCTGAAGAAATGTTTGTATTTATTTTTCAATCAGGATTAGTAGCAGCAGCATTTGCTTCACTGCATATATCTGAAAGTGATGATAATAAAAAGCCCAGTCCCAAGTCTGTAAAGCAGAACCGTAATCAGATATTGGATAGTCAAATCCTGAAGGCAACAGATTTAAATTCTCTCCTTCTTGTGGCTGAAAATCCTGTGGTGTCTAGAAGACATGCCTTAAAGGTAGGCAATGTCTTTGCTTATCATAATTTTGTTAATCATCTTAAATGTTTTCTGAAGGTAACATTTGTATGAAAGAAATTTCATGAAAATCATTTTTTTATGAGTTAATTGTTTTGTTATTTAATTACTTTAGCACTAATGCATGGAATTGTAGAAATAAATGATATTATATACAGCGTGTAGTTACCATCGAGACAAAAAATGAACACAGGTCTTACGCTACTTGCCAATTATCATAAAAAATATTAACGTTAAACAAAATCCATGATTAAAAAAAATATTTTTCAAACAAACTAATTAAGTAAAAAAGAAAGAAAATTTGTAACAACCTATACAACTCGCGCCACAGCGTCGCATTACAAGCCTCTCTTTCTAACAGTTTTGTCTCTTTTAAATTCATTCAACCCATTCATATGCTTTGTGACCTTTACAAATGAACTTTAGAAATTTAAATTGTTTATAGTGCTAATCTTTGCACTTAACATTGAACATTAAAATATGTAGAAAAAGTGCGAAAAGATTGTCGCCGCTGTGGGAATCGAACCCACGTCTTCGGCATTCGCGGCCTGACGCTCTAGCCACTGAGCTAAACGGCTACGCATTCTTCTACATTGTTTTCTTAGCATTTGAAGCAATGCTTGGCGCCATCTATTGTTATATCCATTCCAGCATACAAACGACTTTGAATATCGTTTTACAACAATAATTCGAACGAGAGATGTCGCCATTGCTTTTTTAGAAATTTAAATTGTTTATAGTGCTAATCTTTGCACTTAACATTGTTAAAATATGTAGAAAAAAAAAACTTTATGTTACAGTTTTATATGTAAGGGTGTTCTAAAATTGTTTGTTTTCGAAAATTTAATAATTCTGTAAATATTGATGCTTAAAGGATGTAAATAATTTTTAATGTATGATTGTAAATATTATAAGTTTAATACAATTTTAAAAAGTTATCCTCTATATGTGTGTTCATTTATTGTCACGGTGGTAACAACATGCTGTATATATATAACAAATTATAGACTTGAGAAACTATTTTGGGATTATGTAAGTTTTTTATCTGCATGGTGATCAAACCCACATACATGCAATAAGAGGTAGCTCTTGATTGAGTTGTAGCTCCATCCATACTAATATGTATAGATGGTTCTATGACTATACATATTTACTCATACAATTTTCAGATGGTGTCCATTCTGTCCGAGTGGTCAAGTAGCCACAAAGTAAAACTTTCTGACTTTGAAAGGGACCCTAGGTTTCTTAAACTTTGTAGGATCCTTGCCAGAACTACTTCCACACAAGCAATGACCTCAATAACAATGGCTGAAGACTTGAGTACAGTGTTGGGCATTACAGGAGATGATGAAGCTGCAAGATTAATTACTAATTTATCATTATCACAAATGATCAAGGTGAGCTCATTCATGTAAGAAATACTGGCAACGCTGAAAAAGCTTTTTCGACAATTCATCTGTTAAACTCAAATTAAAATTTCATCTTGACTGTGGACTTGACTAGAACTAGAAAATAATCATAAACTGCTTTTGACTAAATATCAATTACAGTATAATTAATATCATATTTGGTATGTGATTAGAGATACCTTTGTGATAAAAGTTACTATGATTATGAGTAAGGAAGAGAAGAATTTATGTAGACATCAATTAATCATTTCAGAACATATAGTGTTATGTCAAAAAGGCATAACTGTAATTCTGCTGTGTTATTATAATTTTATTAATAATCTTATAGGTTATGAAGGCTCTACACCAGAAGGGTCGACGCAGCACACCTCTACTAAGGGCTCTATCAAACAACATCACTAACCAGTCTGAACCTATAGACTTAAAGAAGTCTGCTGATTTACTTTTCTCAATGGCATCACTGAATTTTCCAGATCCTGTGCTAATGGATAGGTTATGCAAGTAAGTTACTATAGTATTTATTTGGAGTTCTTGCATTTTTTTAATGTGTAAAGTCGCAAAGTGAGCAGGCAGTTCAGCTGATGTTAAGTAAATACCGCTGCCCATGGACATTTGCTACACCCGAGGGTTCCAGATGTTATGACAACCTTTTGTAAATTGGGCTCCGCCTGCCTCACTCACCAGACGAAACATGAAAGTATTATACTTCCACTTCACGCCGGTCTTCTGTGAGGTTGTGATACTTACCCTGGACGAGCCTGGCCATTCATGCAACAGCCGAGGTTGCTGCGTGGCCCTACATCTGTTGAATTGCCGATATTATATTATCTGAAATTTTTCATTAAACCACATTGAGAGTTGTGGCCAATCATATTATTATTTCCTCAGTGACATCATTGACACACTTCCATCAAACACAGAGAAGCCAGCGGTAGTCAATTCAATATTGGTATCACTCGGTCTACTAAAATACCGTCACGAGGCTACTCTTTCTGCAATAGCCACATGGATGCAGAGCCATAAGAGTATTTGCAGGGCAAGTGACTTAGCTTCTGCCGTCATTACATTTGGCACATTGGATTTTGTGCCACCATCAAGTGATGCATTGTTTGAGGTACAATTAGTTTTATGATAGTAAAAGAATCTTAATGAAAAAAGTGTGTCTTGAATGGTCATAGATTACTGCATTTTGAGAGACTTTTTTAACCATTTATATTTTCAAAAGTTATTGCTGTGTAATTTTTTTAAATGGCACTACTGCTTTAGATATTAAAAAAATGCAATCATTCAAATATCAAAAGACAAGAAACGTATATATTTAGAACCAAAAATCTATAACCCAAAAATAAACCAAGCCATAAATAATATGTCATTATTCTTTATGTGGCAGGCTGCATTGACCCTTAAAGAAGAGGAGATGACGAAGCCATCTTCCTGGCTGGACCTGGTATTTTCATTTCTAACTTTAAACATGGCAGAGAAAGACCACTTGATTTCTACATTGAGGCCAGAGTTTATTGACAAGCTACTCTCTGCGGGTGGTGAGTCTTTGAATTGTTATTGTATTTGAGTATCTGAATTGGTATTATAACGAAAAATTAAAAGTAAACTTATGGCTAAAGCCTATTATTCTATTGCTGAATATCTTGACGACGCCAATGTGTGGGGTTAATACTGTTGATACTGACGTAGGCTAAAACAAGACTATTGTACATGTACTATTATATTGTAAACTGATTTTTTTTAAAAAGCAACTGTTGAGTTTCTTGCCGGTTTCTTCTCAACAGAAACTGCTTTCCGAACCGGTGGTAACTTACGAACGTGTTAATTTCTTGTAAAATTTTGACGTTTCATAAGAACGCGCAAGCGTCTATGTGAATAAAGATATTTTATTATATTATTATTATTATATGTAATGATGTGGGATCTAACGGTCCATGGTTACATTGGTCTTATCCAACTGGAACATGTTAATGAGTTTCTCAAACAGTTTAGTTTAGTTTAGTTCAAGAATTAGTGTAACTTAAGAATTAGTGTAACGTTAATATTTGTGACTAGTGTACAGGCAGCCCTGACACTTGATAACTTTTTGTAAAAATAAATAAGGTGTCTACCTCATAAGACATAAGAGCTTATTGCTTGCTGTTTTTGTAGGGTTGTAACAATAAACAAGTAAACAATGATATGTAGTGATGATTGATGCTCAAACATGGCCTATTTAGGATATAAAATTGTGTAAATCAGTAAAAATAAGATTTCAAAGCAAACATATTATTTTTTACCTGTCGGTCCACTACTTTGGTCTGATACAAATCTCTTTATGACTGAATGTTACAACCTGCAGTTATTTTATACATTAAAGCAGCTGTTTCAGCTTTTTTGTTTTTTGTTGGGCTGCAGATCTGTTGTAAACCTAAAAAAAGAATGGCTCCGAGTTAAGTCGTTCTCCAGAAGAAACACAAAAGTCTAATACTTTGGCTTCACGCTGGTTTTCTGTAAGACTGTGATACATCTTCGGTCAAGTCTGCCCATTTGTGCAACAACAGAAGCCGCTATGTTGCCCTACAAATGTCAAACTATGTTTTATATCTTGAAATAGTTTTGCTATGCCCAGTTTCTGAAACACTGATCATCGTAGAAGTTAACTAATCAGCTGTCAAATGGCTTTTAAAATGTTATTTGAGTTGCCAAAATGATTGTTAAACTCTCTGAATTGATCAGAATAATCTTCCTAATGATCAGAATGACCATGGCAATAATAAATTCATATACCCCCTTTTACATTTTGTATACCGCTCTTGTTCTTAACACATATATCATATAAATGATCTTGGGAAAATATATGTTATTGCAAATACCTTTCCAGAGATTCCAATCCCGGCTCGACGTAAACTGATGGCAATCGACGCGTATACAAATCTTAAATATCCAAAGGAAAGTGTGCGGCTGGCAGAAGACATTTCAGTGGGTGTGCCCATTGTTTATACAAAGGAAAAAGCACTTTATGTACAAAGTATTATGGACACATTCAAGACCTTAGTATCAGCTGAAGCGTTCCTGAAGAGGGAGTGCAACTCCGGAATGGGCTTTATTCATGGTGAGTGATCTTTTGATATACATAATAATTGAAACATGTAATTGATTTTAAAAAGCAAAAGCAATTAACTCTTTGAAAATTAGTTATTTTATGTAAGATGGTGGCACATGAGCTGGAAGTTCACCTGTTGTTAAGTGATAAAGGCCGACCATGTTCATTTGCAACACCCGTAGGGTTGGTGTATTGCCAACTTGTAATAAAGTTAACCACAGTTATATAACTCACCAGACAAAACGTCGAAGTTTCAGTCTTCCATTCCACATTGGTTGCCTATGAAGTTGACCCCGGATGGACTTTATTTGTTCAATAGAAAAGACTGTTGCATAGCCCTACCTTCGTTTTATTAGTTCAAGATTTATCTGGACATTTTCTTTTTCTATCAATTAATTCAGAAAATCTTATATAGATTTTCTGAATTACACAGCGTATCGTTACCATCGAGACAATAAATGAACACACATATAGAGGACCACAACAAAGAATTTTACAACACCCTTACGTATAAAACTATACTACTAGCTAAGAACGGATTTTACGAAATTCCACAAAACAACGTTTGCCGGATCAGCTAGTTCAGAATATATGAATGCCATATAATAACAACACTAGGGCTTATTGTGAAAGGATCCATAATCAATAAATGGAATGTGATATGCTTTATATTTATTTCCTCATATCCAATTCAGGCTTTATCTACGATGTGTATGGCATGCATAACCTTACCATAACACATTGTGAAAAATTAAGATTTATACTGTTTTTAATAGATGCTGAATTCGCTGTGGACTCCAACTGTCATCCGGTACCCTTAGAAAAGGCTGTGAACAATGAGAGGTGATCAAATGGGCTTCTTTCATTATTGCTTATAAATCAAAACAAAATCAAAAACATTATATTTATTCACATAGACGGTTGAGCGTTCTTATGAAACGTCAACATTTTACATAAAAATTAATACGTTCGTAAGTAAGTTACCACCAGTTCGGAAAGTAGTTTCTGTTGAGAAGAGACCGGCAAGAAACTCAACGGTTGCTCTTTTTTTTTTTAAAACGATTAGTTTACAACAAAATAGGATAGGTATAAATCGTACTTTAGCATACGTGAGTATGAACAGTATTAACCCCACACATTGGCGTCGTCAAGATATTCCGCAATGGTATAATACGCCTTAGCCATAAGTTCACTTTTAATTTTGCGTTTAAATTCATCTAGTGGCAGACTTAATATCGACTGTGGGATTCTATTATATACGCGCACACTTTGCCCCATGAACGATCTATTAACTTTTTGTAGACGAAACAATGGCGTAATTAATTTGTCCTTATTTCTAGTATTTAATTTATTTCTATCACTATTCTTTAGGTAACAATTAAGATTTCTAACATACAAAATATTACAATAAATATATTGGGACGCAACAGTGAGTATATTTAACTCTTTAAAAAGATCTCTGAGTGTATTCCGGCCTACGATATTGTAGATTGCTCGGACAGCTCTTTTTTGAAGAATAAATATAGAATTTATGTCAGATGCACAACCCCACAACAAAATGCCGTACGATAAGATGCCAAAAATAAAGTGTGGAATATCAATATGTAGTTAAACTCTTGTGGAATATATGTGTTAATTAAACCATCCATTTTCTTTCACAAAATCCATGTGGGGAAAATAAAAATAGGTTTAATTTACACATAATACATACTACTGTCGTAAGTTTTTCGCCGCCGCGGGCATCGAACTTACGTTCTAGACCCTTTAACCACTAACCTAAACGGCCGTTTAAATTTTAACGTTTCCCCTTAAGTGCAGAGATAAAAAACTTAATATCAAATTTAAAGAAAAACATATTGATATTGTTTGTAGAATTTATATTTATCATAACTTTTTTATTGACATTAATATAATTATTCTTATTGAATTGACTACTCTAAATACGTTTTTTTTATTATGTTTAGGGACTTTTACACAAATATGCATATGTCAGTCCCATTGTACCTTATAACTAACATGTTTACAGAATGACTTATATTTCTATGATTACTCATTTCGTAATAATGATTACATTGTTATTATTAAATACGTTTACAGCGTGCACAGGATAGCGGTCCAGGGTTTGGACTACCACGACATGACACGGAAGGTGGTGTCACCACTCGGAGCTAACCAGCTCTACGCCAGGCTCCTCGAGATGAAGGTAAAACAACGTTGTGATTTTTTTTTATGCGAAAAGTTTCAACGTTGAGGTCCTATTATTTTTTTTTTTTTTTTTTTTTATGTGATAAGTTCGGTTCACCTGATGTTAAGTGAATACCGCCGCCCACGGACAACTGTTACACCCGAGGGTTACAGATGCGTTGACAACCTTTTGAAAATTGGGCTCCGGCTACCTCACTCACCATACGAAACGCGAAAGTGTTATACTTCCACTTGACGCCGGTCTTCTGTGAGGCCGTGGTACTTACCCGGATGAGCCTGCCCGTTCGTGCAACAGCCGAGACTGCTGCGTGGCTCTACCACCGTGGGTGTGGGTTCGATTCGATCCCCAATACTGGAGAAATCTTGTGTGGTGAACCTAACGTTTTTCTAGTGTCCGAATGTTTATGTATTTATATACAAATGAGAAGTATGTTTATCACTTATCTAGTATCCATAGTGCAAGCAATGATTGGTTTGTTGTGTAAGAAATGTGACGAAAATATTTATTTATTTATAATCATAAATAATGTCTAAAAAATCTAAAATAATCAAGAGCCGTGATAGCTCATTTTTCGGGCGCCTTAATTCAACATATTCAAGCAACCCGAATTCAATCCCCGGTGCTGGCATCGACGATATTGTTATTTAAGAAATGTGTCATAAAATATTTATTTATTTAATATTTACTAGCGACCCGCCCTAGCTACGCACGGGTGCAACGCTTTGTTTTCGACATCGCTTAGAAACCTCTAAAATTATCAGTGTTTCTCTACTATATCATGCATGAATTATACATATAAATCGTCCTCTTGAATCACTGTATCTAATAAAGACAACCGCATCAAAATTCGATGCGTAGTTTTAAAGATCTAAGCATACCTACAAAGGGACAGACGGGCAGCGGGAGGACTTTGCTTTATACTATGTAGTGATAATTCGTTTCTTAACTCTCCTCAAATTCTCATTGCCGTTTTCCCCCCAGGGTTTCAAAGTTCTCCAGCTCCCGTATACCGAGTTCAGCCCCAAGGAGAAGCTGGTCGACAGGGCGAAGTACATAGAGAAGAAGCTCAGGGGCCTCGTCAAGCCCACGTAGACCTCGCGTCTAGCCAGTGTGTAGTCTGTACAGTTGTAGATGAATTTGTCCGCTGCGTTCATGCAGGCAAAGTGTAATTACGACGGTTTTGTTTACTCCTGTCATCGCTTAGTTCATTTTGTACCCGACGACAGTATTACGCGGGTTGCTTTACATTTATAGTTTACAATGTTACTAATCGGGACCCTTGTGATTAAAGTGGCAAGTATGCCAATTGTTTTTGTAGTAAGTTAACAGTTTTACCACTCAACAGTTCACTGTTGCACTAATGGGCAGCTCCGTCCGGGTAAGTACCACGACCTCACAGAAGACACGCGTGAAGTAGAAGTATTACACTTCTGCGTTTCGTCTGGTGAGTGAGGTGGCCGGGGCACACTTTTTATGAGGTGGCAACGCGTCTTCAATCAGTGTGTTTGGGTGGTGCAAATTTCAATGGGCGTTGGGTATTACTTAACATCGGGCGGACCGCCAGTTTGCCACCTTCTCAAAAAAAAAAAAACACAATAAACTATTTCGTAATATGGTATGTTTTTTTGGTAACAAAATGAATATTATCGTGCATAAATGTTGTTCTTAAATATGTACTGTACATATTCAAGAACAACATGTAACGGGAGCTGTAAATTATTTCTTTATCGAGGTTTAATTACATTTATAAATTACGTTGACGTTTCTAACCATTTTCAACGTCAAACTTTGGGAATTAAAAAATGTAATTACAGCGCGAAGAAATCCATAAAATAGTTTCATGTAAAGATGTATAAAATGTATAAAATTCGCGTAAAAACAAGAAATCAAAATGTTTATTATTTGCTTAAAAAGATGCCGTAGCGAATCATCTCGACCCAAGACATAGAAAGCCCGTGTCGCTTGCTTTTGTAATACAAATATAAAATATTTTGTCTAAACAGGATGCGGAACTCCAGAGTAAAAGATAATGCTGTCAAAATAGGCATAATAAACTAATTTAGCTGTTGCTTCATTTATTAGCTGCTCTAGCAAAGATCTTAAATAAAAATATATACGGTGGAATTGAGAAACCTCCTTCTTTTTTGAAGTCGGTTAAAAAAGAGCAAAGAACTTGTATGGCAAACATTGCGGATTTGAATTTCTTTCGAGTTGAATTTTCACTTCAATATAAAATACTGGCTTGCGAGACCAAACAATAGTGAAGTGTCAATGTGACAAAACTATTTGAGACCTTTATACATCCCCCTCCCCCTCGTTCGGCTCCTTTTAGAAGTCCTTGACTGGTAGATACCTCACCCAAATCCTGCAATTTCGGAACTAAAAACGAACTACCCGAAACACCTGCTGGCCAGTATTCGAACCTTTATATTGTATCCTAAATCCTGGGAATAATGCTAAATACCTCTTCTTCGTACAAATCAGGAAACGCGGGAGGACTAAATCCGGTGTAGAAGGAGCAACGGAGAGTTAGTTTTACTGTTATAAACACATTTGTATGTACTCACAGTGATTGTATAAAGATTTGCGACTAACCGAGCGAGATAGTATGCAAAAATGTTAATATAAATAGTTCCGTTCGCAATTTTGTGCCGTTCAGTGTTTTGTCATTCAGAATTTTAATTGTGCTTAGCTTAATTGCAAATAATTTATTTAATTTAATCTGTCCTTATAATATTAATTCATCAGTTGATAAAACGAAAAACTTAACAGCGTCGTTGAACTATTCGGCTTATTTTTATAAGTGTAGGTGACATTGCATTAGTTTTTTTTTTTAATAAACTTGACAATTATCAAAAATAACACGAGAAACAAATGTCGTCATTAAACATACTTTATTTATACATAGAAAAATCTTACGCGTTTAGTATATTTATGTTGAATTAAACTTATTATTACTTTTAATACTTCACTTTGTAGTTCGCCTTGTGATTCAAATTTGAACCCTATCTTTGTACAGTTACGGCGCAATATGCATTGTTTTTTGTTTAGTTCGCGCGAGAGACTTGGTACGGAGTATGTCATGTTGTTAATATTATTTAAATAAATACACGAACGGAAGCCGGTTGTTTTATTTATTACATTATAAATAGTTTTAAGGAGTCCTTGGCGCAGTTTTGAGGGCTCCTTGGCGCAGTTGCCAAGGTATTGGGTTCGGCGTCGCGGGTCGTGGGTTCGATCCCCACAGGACTACCATTTGTGTGACCCACAGATAGTTGTTTCGCATCTGGGTGTTTGTCCGCGTGAAATTTATGTTTGTAAAACGTCCTTACAACACGGTATAATGTTGTTTTAAAGTAAGGACAACGTTTTTTTCTTACAATAAAAAGAAATTCAATGTATACTATCTATATGCAAGAAATTTATAATCATCGTCAATATATATCAATTACGTGTTCTACAATCGTGGTAAGACCAGGGAGGCTTGTTCTGGGAAGCACCAAGGCTTTACAGAAGACCTTTACAAAAGACTAGCTCGTAGTGTATTCTACTTTCGTGGTGATTAAGGTAGCCAGGACCCTCTTTGTTTCAAGGTTGTCAAGACATCTATAACTTGTAATCACTCAACATCAGGTAATCTATCTTCTCGCTAGCCAAATTTTTTCATAAAAAATAATTTATTATTTGTTTATTATGGTAAAGGGACACACTTTTGTACCTTATTCGTGGTAAATTTCCTGAATGCTACCCACCTTATCCCTCTAATATCAAAGACATAGAGAAAGTTTTAGAAATCACGTTTATTTCGTCTTACAGAACCCGTTGTGAAATTCAGCCGATTTATGGAATGTCCTGTGTTTTGCATATTCTCGATTATTCTTTTCTTTAAAAAAATGATTATCTAGTGCTTAAGTGTATTTACATATTTTTTCTCGTTTAAGTTAAGACTAGATTTTCTTTCTCTATCTCCGGACGTTTCCTATGGCGTTTTAAGTCCGTTCAACATGAAACTGTAACAAATAACATTATATTATAGCCAAGTATTCAAGTGAGCGCATTTGAATGGAACTGGTAGAGAATAATATGAAGTAAACGTAATCATATATATATATATATATATATATATATATATATATATATATATATATATCAAACTGTTGTCAATTATCTTTGAAAATCAGATGGATGTAGTCTTTACATCTCGTTGTTTTATACATCGTACTTGGTGATAAATTCTGCACATCGACTTGTGGAAAGTGACAATAGGCTAATTTCATTTTCATTCCATCACACACTACCTAGTACACGTCATGTTTGTCAATCGTTGTATAACTATTTTTTTTAAGACTGGCTTGTTTTAAGCTCTTATTGAACGTCAAATAACTACCATCGGTTCAGTAATCTAGACCTTTTCAGAGAAGAAACGGCAAGAAACTCTGCGGTTTCTTTTTTTAATTTAACTAGTGTGTGGCGGAAGTATTGTAGAAGTTTGCCGTGCGTGTCCAAAGTCGACGTGTAATCTATATATCGGCGATTACGAGACTCGGCTACAAGGAAATTGACAATCAGTCTCAGTGTCGTTTACTTTTAGTACATATCCAGGATTAATTTCTCTAACATGGAAGAACCTTTTTCTATTCGTTCCTTGTCATTTTGTTTTATGAAGGATCCTATTTATTTATTTATTCGGGTAAAGAACAGCATATTTACAATATTTTATCCAGATCACATCTTAATTATATGTCTACTAATTATCAAAGCGTTTCAATGTTCCCTTTTTAATTTCTCATAGTTTGAAACAGTACCGATGACATAATAAGAGTCGCGGGCAACCGGTCGATGCAAATGGCGAAGTGTCGTCCGTTGTGGCGTTCTAAGGGGAGGCCTGTGTTCAACAGTGGACGTCTTGCGGCAGATGATGGTGATGAAACGGAACAATTAGTATTGCCTCAGCGGTCTCTGATCATGACACTGGGATTAAAAGACCACCGTACTTTGTTATGTTGGCGAAGAACTCCGTGACTGTGTTCACCGCGTTCCTCAGTGACGTCACAATCAGCGGTTCTACTAGGAAGTCCGAGGGCGGCTGGTAGACGCGGCGGCCGTCCAGCCTCTGCAGCCTTCGGAAGTTGTAGCGACCCTCGCGGACCTTCTCCAGCAGGTTGTACTGCAAAGGTAGCGTCGCCAATGACACCTGGCCGGTAATTTAAGGTGGCACGACACGATTGTGACAAGGAGTCAGGACAAGGTTTCCCCGAAATCATTTTTTTATAGTGCTAACCTCTGCTCTTAAGATTAAACATTAGAATTTGTATAAAAAAGGAACGAAAAGTTTTTCGCCGCTGCATGTGGGAATCGAACCCACGTATTCGGGATTCGCGCCCTGTCGCTCTAGCCACTTAGCTAAACAAAACGCACACAAATTTGAAAATTTCCCCCATTTAGAGAGAAGGGTTAAATTTTCAAATCATGGGTGGAAAAAGAACAGACAGAAATATATCTATTTAATTGATTGATATAGGTAAAACGTATTCAAATTTGTCAGACCCAGCTAAATATAAAAAAAGAACAAATAACTGGTTCTCTATTAACTGTTCTCTACAAAATTACTGGTTCTCTTGTGAGGAGGGGCCAACAACAATAAGTGCCCTTCGAGGAGGGATGACTACTACACATCTTCTCGTTCGCAGGTACACGTGGGTAGCAGCCCTGAAATGAGCTTGAGTCGTGTGAGGGCTGCGAGTGAGCGAGCGTACAGTTCGCAGAAGATTTGAAGAAGTGGAGATAGGTTAATGTACCGGCCAAAGCTCCAAAACTTGAAAGACACCATCGTTTGGTTCAGCTGTACTTGGCAGGAAAACATCCCATTTGGGACATTAATGGGGGCGGGTACTGTTGGAATTTGGAATGTGGGTTTATTTTATAACGTCAACATTAGCTAAGAAAGGATTTTAGAAATGTCAACCTAAAAGGGGGAGAACTGATCCTCTCGAAAATTCATTTGAAATTAGAAACACGAAAAATTGAATTACAGCTACCGAACATGAATAAATAGTGACGTAACATAAACGTTTAAAGCCGCGAATAATAGCTAGTGCATACTTATATTAAACACGCATACCAATTAATGAAATTTATATCATGTTATCATGTCTTAATTCGCAGCCTCAAATTCATAAAAATCGTACAAACTTAGCATAATAAAATGCAGCAATCCAACGGCAAGCAATTATGGAGAAAGATATATACATCTTGATAGGACAGAGATAAAATTAATATCAAATGAATGATGATGAATTATTGGTTATGTAAAAAGATAATATTTAAAATTTTAAAAGAATTTTAATCGTGCATCCGTTTTGTTATCACATTTTTCATTTTGCAATTAAATAGTGTGTGTGTAAGTGATATTATTATAAAAAAATATATTTAACGGTGGTAGAGCCACGCAGCAGCCTCGGCTGTTGCACGAATGGGCGGGCTCGACCGGGTAAGTACCACGACCTCACAGAAGACCGGCGTAAAGTGGAAGTATGACAAATAATTTCGCGTTTCGTCTGGTGAGTGAGGTAGCCGGAGCCCAATTTCCAAAAAGGTTGTCAACGCATCTGCAAACCCTCGGGTGTAGCAGATGTCCATGGGCGGCGGTATTCACTTAACATCAGGTGAACCGTCTGCTCGTTTGGCAGCTTTTCACATTAAATAATAATAATAATAATTTTCATCAAAACAGCCTTACAGCCTTAAAAGAAATGGATTAATACGTAGCTCCTGACATGTGAAATAGTCTAAAACAAAAACGTAAGTCTTGACGTTATTCATGACAGATTCAAACCCGAGTCATGGTTTCGATTATTGAGCTGTTAGGTTAAAGAATGAATTACTTACTTGCGCTTCTGTTAGGTATATATGCTCGGGGAAAACTATCCAGGTGACGACTTCGTTGCAGAGGGGAGAGGTCAGGGAGCCGGAGTATGTATAGTAAAGACTTGGTGTAGGGCTGAACAGCTTACTGAAAAAACAAGCGACGTAAAGTAAAAGCTTAAAAATAAAAAAAGTAAAAGGGTTAAAAAGTAGTAAAAGTAAAGTCAACTGAATATACATGTCCCACTGCTGGGCAAAGGCCTCCTCTATACAGAGGGTATCCGGGCATAGTCCACCACGCGGCTCCACTGCGGATTGGCGGACTTCAAATATCTTCGAAATATTTTTTTGTTATCATTTCGAAAATATGCAGGTTTCCTTGCGATGTTTTCTCGTGGAATTCAGCCGCCGGGATATAAAACTACTTTACGGTTTTTCTCAGGCGTTTCGTATCCTAAAATCGTAATAATCGAAAAACAAAATTCCGTGAAGTAGCTTTATTGACATGTGTGCTGTTGGGGTAAATGTAAAAAACCGGCCAAGTGCGAGTCGGACTCGCGCACGAAGGGTTCCGTACCGTTATCTAATATGTAATTGTATTTGAATGAGCGCCCATACATCTCGGAGCACTATTTTAATTGGCGTCAACTGTGTGTATGGGGACACCCTTAATTTTCAACTTTTTTATTTTTTTAGAATTTTTCCTTTATTTGTGCTTGCTTTTTGCCAAATTTCGTGATTCTAGGTTAACGGGAATTACCATATAGGTTTTCGACCCAAAACCTATAGTAGTAGGTACTTCCGTTGGACCTAGAATTGACAATTTTGGTTCATTTGAATCATTACAATAGTTAATAGCGTAAAGCTTAATCTATGTATACTATCTAAATCTTAAAAAAAAAGGATATACTTTATTATTGAAAATAATAACGAGTCATATTTTAAAAAAAAAGTTTTTCTTAAAACAATAACTAAAATATTAAATTGCTTTGTCTTATCGCTGGAATTGATCGTGATACTTGTGATCGATCTTTTCAAATGCCAATTAAATCGTAAGTAGAAATCTGCGATTTCTTCATAATTATCCGCACAGATAATCACCGATTTTATATATAGAAACCGCGTAATCATAATATTGAGCCATTAATCGTACGGCAAAGATAAGGGACAAAAACGTCAAATTAATTAACTCATTTGCTGAGCTTCGATAATTGCGGGCGATTGGGAGAATTGCTCCAAGATGTTGCGCCAAATTTTTAAACGAATTCGATTCGATGCGGATGCAGCTTATTGCTGGTAATAATGGCGGATGCGAGCAAACGAGTTGATTAATTCGTTAAAGCACAGGAAAACCGTGAAACGGTACCGCCGTGATAACTCAGTGTCCGGACCGCTCGCCTTCAATTCAATATATGTGGTTTCAAATCCCAGTGTCAGCACCAATGGAATTGTTAATTTTGAGCGCTGATTTATCACGTGCTCAAAAGTGAACGAACACATGAAAGTGAACAACGTGGGCAAACCACGTATATTTTCGAAATAATCTTATCTTATAAATAAAAATGTATTGCTGATCGTTAGTCTCGCTAAAACACGAGAACGGCTGGACCGATTTGGTTGATTTTGGTTTTGGAACATTTGTGGCAGTTCAGGGAAGGTTTAAACGATGAGAAATTATGGAAAAATTGCATGGAAAATCGAAATAGTAACAATTTTATTTTTCCATACAAACTGTACATGTCCACTTTATGCGTGCGTTCCAATTCCTCTAGAAATAATTTATATGGCGAAACAACGTTTGCCGAGTCAGCTAGTAAGAAATAAAAACCACCAGTGTGACATGTATAGGCTGTTACTTTATTTTTACGTGAAAACTGTGATAAGCATAATGCGTGTTTTATGGGAATTTAAAAAATTTTATGAAAATTTAAACTAACTAAAGTAAAATAACAGGCTTTTTATGTCCCGATACAGGGCAAAGGGGCTCTATCTTTGAAATTATTTTGTCGTTATTATTTGGAAAATATGCAGGTATCTTCACGATATTTTTTGTTCACCGCCGAGAACTTAACATTTACAAATTAATTGGTGCCGGCACCGGGATTTGAATTCATGTTGCTCGAGTAAATTATATCGAGTATAAGTTCTGTAGTCCGGTTCCCTACTATTGGTTGACCATCACACTGCCGCCACCTTATGTAAAAAGCATCTCAAGTACTTAATTTGTACATTATCTAACTTCTGTATTGTTAACATTACTCAACTGAGCGGTATTGAGGGCTGTTAAGGCGCAAGTCAGCTTAGTGCAAGGCTATCTTCCGATCCCGGATTATCCACAAACGAAAGCGCTATTTCCGTACGACGTAATCCGATTACTGTTTCGCGTGCGGCTTATATGAAAAACTTTTTTTTTAATGTGAAAAGTTGCCAAGTGAGCTGATGTTAAGTGAATACCGTCGCCCATGGACATCTGCTTCACCCGAGGATTGTAGATGCGTTGACAACCGTTCGAAAATTGGGTTACGGCTACCTCACTCACCAGACGAAACTAGACTTCTTTTTGTTATCCTAATTCACTTTTGGTGGGCCATTTCGGGGCAAGAAAGTGTAATTTGCGGGATCCAGTTTTCCCTCCGGTTATAACAATTAATAAGTATGTAAATATTTCAGCCCACATTTTCACACAACGTTCTTTAGTCCCAAACTAAACAACGCTTACACTATGGGTACTTAATAACTGATAAACATAATTAAACATAGTTTTCTTTTGTAAATAAATATCTACATATTACAAATGTATTAACACCTAGACATAGGAAAAACACTATGTTCATCCCGCAATACTTATCGAGTGGTGGGGATCGAAACCACATTATCAGGCCCATGAGGTAAGTTCAGTATCCACTAGGTCAATCGGTTGTCAATGTATAACTTTTCTGTCTTCAAGGCAAGAGTGAATAGCACTGGCTCTTCTGGAGATCACGGCCTCTCCTTTTTCTGGTAAATAAATTTATTTTCCTTCTTTCTCGACAGTGGACTCACAGGAGTCGGTTGCCCGTTCAAAAGAGGCCGCGTAAGTAAGAAGTATATATAAAAAAGAAATACTTATAATATCATTTTATTTAGATCATGCAAAAATTGTTGCTGGCCACGAAAAAGTTTTAAATGATCTAAAGTTTTTGAATTTGAATTTTTGTCCTCCTACAATTTTTGTGTTTATAAAATAGTATGTTAAAAAGTCTCGACAACGCAAGTAATCTTATCCTGCAACGTTAGTGTTATGTATTGTAGCAAAGAGGATAAATAATAAAAAAAAAGTAAATTAATAAATCCAAATTAAACGACTTCGGAATATAAATATATGGAAACTCACGTTAAGTTTAACAGCGAGCCGCTCACTCGTCTGCCAACCCTCTCCAATCTCGAAAGGATAAAAGTGAGGTCATCAAACGACGTTTCTGTCTGTTCTTCGTTATTTATAATCTGCAAATCAGTAATGCAGCAAGAACCCTCGAGTAAAACTCAAGTGTTAAGGAATTAGAAACGATTTCGCGGAGCTTAGAACAAAGTGCAGAGGAGCGGAGATAGTGTAAGTCTTAGAAAAACCCTATTTGAAAGGCTCTGGTTGGATCCTGTTGGAAGCCGTCTTCTTAACTATTAGAAGAGTAATAATTAAGAACAATTATCGATTAATTACTGTATGATTGTTATAAGAATGAACCCCCAGTGACACACGATTTTTATCACCAACGTCATGCACGCAGTGGCATGGCACAGTTGTGTCAGGTAATATGAGATGACTGCAAGTTCAGCTTATATGTTCCTTTAATAATTTAAAATTCTTTAATAATTTCTGTAATAATTTAGAACAACTAATTTAGAATTCTAAGCCATAGATGAATGAGGCTAGGTAGAGTGCATGGGTGAGTGAAAAGAAACTGTCACTAAGCCATTTGCTAGCATTGTTTACCTTACAGAAAGTTGCTAAAATAGCGAGGCCATCTTTCCTTTTGAGCGCCCGTTTAACGTCGAGGTCTGCCCTCACGTGAACGAAGTGGATTTCGACGGGAAACCTATGGGGCATGTCATTTTAATTCTGCAGCGATTTCAAACAAACATGTATTTATTAACTTCAAATCGTCATCATTCTCATATCAGCCTGTACGGGCCCACTGCTGAATTTAGAAGCACGATCCTGAGCAAATTGGATCCATAGACATCCCACATAAAAAAAAGACTTTGGAATAATGCGTTCCAGCTTTTCATACCTGTGGATGATAAAAGCGTGCAACCTTTTTGTGATAAAACTGTTTCATCTTATATTTCTTTTATGATATACGATCATATGAGATATGACATCATACATTTATATTGGCTTACTTAATTTATACGCTAGTCTCAGCAATTAGATAAATTTTCGAAAAATTGAAAAGGACACATACTTAATGCCGTCAATGGCGTGCTCAGAGAGCCAGTGCAGATGCATCTGCTCCAGCCTGTACTCGTGGGCAAGGGGCCCTCCCCTGATCTTGGGCTGTGAGACCCTGTCGCCCTCCGTGCTGAACATAACTGGGGAGGAAGTTGGTGATTGTAGTTTTGCCAGGAGTTTGGTCAAAAAGAAATTCGGTAGAAGACTGATCTCATTGGCAGGCTCGTGTGGTTGTTTACCCAAGTCTAGTAATCCATCATCCAATAATCGATGACTGTTTAAATTAAGCACCACGTGCTGTTAAAGATGAATAAACATTAATTATTAATTATTAGCTTATTTAATTAACACCCTCACAGAAGGCCGATTGAAGTTTAAGTTTTGTGCATTCGCCTGGTGATGTTACCGGGGCGAGTAACGCATCTGCAGCCCACCAGACGTGGATATCCATGGGCGGTAGTCTACTTAACATCACGCGAACCGCTTGCTTCCTTGCCAACTATTTTCATAAAAAAAAAGCAAACAGACCCTTGTTCTGTATAGTGCCTGGTCACACTACTCGTCCGTTGGCACTAACTCACCCGTGTAATCGTTGTTAATCGCAGTCAGCAACACCTGCTGGTAGCCGTCGAACTCGAGCGCTCCGTGCTTGACGAACTCCTTGCCGAAATCCTTGATGACGTCCGACGTCCGAATGTCGATGGGCGACTGGCGGGTGCCGACACCGTTGCATTTGGGTCCGGGCCAATTCCTCTCGTCTGGACTCACCGTTCGATAAATTATCAGAGGTTCGAAAAGGACTTCAAGACATTGCGTTTATTGATTTCATCTTTCACATAAAGAAAAAAAAAACAGATTTATGGATATATGGAAGAGCAAAAGAAAGGCGGACCCCAGCTAGGATACGTTTACCTCTTATTTTATTCATCGGAAGAAATGCAAACCTACAAATACTTTCATCTAACGTGGTAATATAAGGTTACAGTATGTATAAGAAAAATTATTACAGTCTATTAAAGACCCATACATACCTTCATAAGACCAGCGCAGTGATACAGTGATTGAGATGTCTGAAATGCGTAAAATACAAGGAACCCTCTGTATTATAAGCGGAATTCGATAATCTCATGTGAAAATTAAATTATCCTTAAATTAATTTTCACATGAGATTTTTTGTCATAAAGTTTTTCGGAAGACGCGTGACGGAAGGCAGCAAGAAAAATTTTAACAGTTATAAATTACTTATTTATATAAAAATCGTTTATCGTTCTGCCTGGTGTCAAGAGGGTCGTATTTTTAAAATACATTGATATTCTTTTTTTAATTTTTCCATACTTTAAGATCACATTATCCCATGTTGTAAAGACATATATAAATTTCCCGTGGACAATCACCCTGATTCGAAACAATTCTGTAGGTCCCAAAAACAGTTGTCCCGCGTGGGAATCGAACCCACGACCCCCGACGCTGAAGCCAATAACCTTAATAGCTGCGACACGGAGTCATCAACACATTTGAAAATGTTGCAAACAATGTCATGATAGACGAAACAAATTAGAATTAAGCTCTCACCGAGGTACAGCAGCAAACATACGAAATGTCTTGGCATTGCCAAGTGTCAGAGGTGCTGTGTGGCGGTGCAGTCCAAGATAAACTGTTGTAAAAGCGCTCCGAAGAATGCTTGTTATGATTGAAATGTCAAATGAGAGTAGTTTACAAAACAATCGCAACAGTAAAATATAAACATGAACACATAAACATGTACAAGAGTATACGCCTGTTTTCTATAGTGGTATTTTTTTACACTACTGAGGTGACACTACTAGAGTATGGTTATCAAAAGTAAGTTAGTAAAGTAACAACTTATATATGTCCCACAGCTGGACAAAGGCCTCCTCTGTACCGAGGGTATTAGGACACAGTCCACAAGACCCTACTGTGGATTGGCGACTTGACATAATATCTAAGAAATATACTTTTTTGTTATTATTTCGAAAATATGCAGGTTTCCTCACGATGTTTTTCTACACCTCTGAGCACGTGATAAGTCTGCACTTAAAATTAACAAATTGGTACCGTCACCGGGGATTGAATTCTGATTGCTCGAGTATATTGAATTAAGGCGCCCGGACAATGAACTATCACGGCTCTTTATTATTTGAGAGTATGATTATAAATAAATAAATATTTTTAGGACATTTTTTATACTACGTTCTCTAGTTCCAAACTAAGCAAAGCTTGTACTATCGGGTATCAGATAACTGTATATAAACACACAGATACTGTAAAAATGCTATGTTCAATACAACATATTTTTCCAGTAGTAGGGATCGAACCCACACCCTCTGGCGCAAGAGGCAGGCTCCATACTACGCCATTAGGGTCGCCAATGCCTGTCAATTTTGTTGAATGTGTGAATAATTTAAAATTAGTATTAACTTTACTTAACAGTTAGTCCAAAGATTTCTAAACCTGATTTGACCTTTCTACTCGTATTACTGTTTTTGTTGTATTTGCTCGTCGCTAGGATGTTAAGGACTCAGGTGTGATCTAACACTGCGAGTCTAAGTTTCAGTCCTTGATGCACGTTAGAGATTGTGTATTATAACCTTATAATACACAATCCCATAGGTCCTTAGCCTTCGTTTGGCATGTGACCTATGTGTTCCATCTACTGTAAGAGACAAAAGGGCCGCATTAAATGCTAGTGTGACACTTGACATACAAGTGCGTTCACGCACTGCATAAAACATTGCTAAACCCCAAACACAGAAAAAAATCCGCATCCAAACAGCAGAACATACGATAATAGCACTTCTGGATAACTCCTCTTCACAATTCACGAGCATTTATTGTTATCACCCTTCTAGACGTATTTAGGGATTGCAGATGCACTTGTCGTGTCTAGATTTAGAGCGTCTTGGTAAATTTTATGTAGATTAAAGTCTCTCCTCCAATCGGGCAGATATATTTCTTGTTTTATTGATTTCATTGTTAAATAAACTATTTTACGGATTTTATTGCGTTTTAATTAGATTTGTAAATTCCCTACTTTTCGTACCCTTTCCAGCGTTCTATATAAATATTTAAACCAATGTTTGCGCTAGCGTGAAGCGTAAGAGAAAGCATCAGTCTGTACTAGTTATAAAGTTTTCTTTTTTTGTTTCATATCACCAGTATTTATAGGACTATTATAAAACACTGGTAAGCTTGTGTTAGAAAAATACCAATGTGTGGGTGCATTTTTCTTTTGTCTTGATAAGTGTTATATCACTGTTTTACTGCGTCCTGGATAATTCCTGGCGTAGCGTTATGGACGTAGTAAGTTATCTATGAAATAGATATCGCTAATTATGTTTATGAGCAGTGAGTGTGTGATTTACCAGATTTATAATCGTACCTGATTTAATGATCAAATCATTAAAATCCTGGTGGCCCGGTGAACACTGATCTGACGCCAGTTTCTTTCTAAGAAATCTCAATGTTAACAAGTAAGAAGAAAATGCTGATGAGTTTAAGTTTTCACGATGGTATTGGCTGCTCATAAATGGCACGGAATTGTCTAACTTGTAAATAGGGACATGCCAGTTTTTAAAGGCACATTCCAAGCCATTTCGAATATATGCCACCTCGGATTGAAGTCGTACTTGCCAGTGGCGGGAATTCAGAAATAATCTACTAACAATAAAGTCTTATCTCCACACATATTTGAATATCTGAAGCCGTTAAAAAGCAATATGCAATTAAAGTATTTAGGCGGTAACAGCGAATGATTTATAGGGTCGTATATTGTCAGGTGTCACGGAATGACAAAGTACATGAGTACAGATTATATTACAATAAAAAAATACGTCATGATAATAATAAAATAAGATAACGAAATCTATCGCGGTATTTTAAAACTATTCGAAGAGTACTAATTAGCGAAGAGTTAGAATACTAATTCTTAGCATCGGACTTATATTAACCAAGATTTTTACAAAGCGCAATATGACGATAGTCGCGAAAATAAGCGACAGAGGCACGTACTTTTGCTCATCTAAACGATGTAAGGGTTGAGATTATCTTCTTTATTCTGTGTTGTTCTTATGTAATCGAGGAAATCACCTGTAAAACAATCTTTAATCCAGTCTGCATCTCTCGCTTTAAAATATATCGATACTCCCATAATAACAACTCTACCCTAGTAGCGGTCGTACAAAATACCAAGCCCTTATTTGAGTCCTATTTGTGTAGTGACTTGCGCTTTGATATATTAGTCACTTAGATGATTTTCTTTTTAATCTAGTAGGTATTGAAAAAGTTTAGGGTTGATAAGAAAACAAGATTGCTACAGTTTTTCCCTTATATTAACTATGGTACAGAACTAATCTATATTGTACTGTAGATATACAATATAAGCATGTATAAGAGTACAATAAAATGTTATGAAATAAAAATTTAGTAAATGTTACATATTTTTATACACATTACATATGAGTGTATTTGACCCGCAAAATATATAAATGTTATATATTCCAAAAAATTCTCGTCAAATTTTCAGGAATAATTATGTATAGACAAGTTTTGAACAATGGGGGAACACTAGCATGTGCTTGTATTGTGAGTGACGCCAAGCTATTGTATATATACTATGTGTTCACTGTAGTTAATTATTTACCAAACAAGTTCATTCAATCAACTGGCATTCATATTTGCTGTACCTATATATTTTTTTTTATTAGATCGGTGTTGCTGAGCTTGTTAGCCGACAGCGCGATGAAAAGGAAGGACATGTGTATTATGTTTAACAGCTTATATATGTATGCCAAAATGTTTGTATGTATGTTGTAATGTTCTAGGAGCGCCGCAATGGAACATACATACAAATATTTCAGCAGGATTTGAAATATCGAAATTTCTTGGTCATTGAAGCGATAACATGAAGTTAATCAAAATTCAATATCGCGCCAAGTAGACGCCATATTTAAAAAAATTTAAAACAGAGTTTAGAAAAATGTGTTTTATTTTTCATACTTTTTTTCTTATCACTACGCATAGATAGACTTCTACAGTTTCGTTGCCCAGGATAAAAATGTGTAAATTGAGAGGCTTTAATGTATTTCATAATTTATTTATAAACGAATAATACACAATAAACAACCATGAGATACTAGACTAAGCTTATAAATAAAACAGAACATTAAAATATTTTATAACATCACAATACTCATTTCACCACAAGCATCACAGCCTTTAAAATGTTTTTCTCATACAAAACAGCTTTAGTATACCAAAAAAGAAAACAAATTTTTTATCATTCCTAGAAGTTTTATCGAAAAATAAATTTATTGCGACCTCCGCCTGTCGAAAATCCATAAAAACAATATAAATATTTTGGCGAATTGAAATTAAATATAAAGTATTAAAAAAGGTTTGTGTTTAACATTCAGCTCAGCTGCTATTTAAATAAATAACTTCAAATGTTTGCTTTTGGATACATAAAAATATTTTATTGCAAGGCTCTGAAGATGGAAAATTTAACCATTTTGGTGTCAATTTAAGAAAGAAAACGGATTATTTTTTCAGAATGTCATAACATTTTAATTTCTTATATATACGAAAATACTACACATTACTAAACGTAATTATTTTTACAGATTTATTACTTTCATTTACCAATTTTAATTCCCGGCGACAGACGATTCGAACAAGTGACATTCGTTACAGGGCAACTTGTTTAAAACCTGGTGGTAATAAATGTTTAAGAATGGTTTCATTTATTAATGTAAATTTAAAATAACATTATGTAAACTAATAAAAATGTTAAAAAATTAAAAATTGTTGAAATGATTTTTCTATTTAAATAAAATAAAAAGTGAACACGTCTTAATTTCGTCAACAACGTCAAGTCTTAATTTAACGAACACAAATATTTCTCTGTTAAAATTGAGTTTTTAAACCCAAGCATTATTATCTTCATGTATTAGGATAATCAAAATAAACTTTAAGTACTTATTTTTATGTATGCGCGTCGATTTGTTAATATAGACATCTGATATTTTCAAAAGCCATACAATTGGGTTGTATTTTTTGTTTGAGATTCGATGAGTCAAGTTAATCGACACTAAGCTACCGAAGTCGGTGCGAGAAACTCTTCGTTTATTCCACGTGGGCAGTTATTCATATCGATGTCATATATCGACAATTAAAAGACATGATATATAGCTTTTTGATAAAGTGTACTATCGAAAGATTGTCTTAAAATCCTGTACTAGCCGGATTCGGATAGTTACTACGACTCAGGATTTAATTATAATTAAGTTTTTAAAAGCTTATGCAAAAAAGACATGAGACCGCAGAAACTTTTGGCGGATTTTTTCTGATGGTCTAAAATGCCGGATAGTTTTCGACGTTCATAAGAGCTTGAAACATACCAAAGCATCATAAAAAGAAATTGTCCTTTTATTAAAAAAAATAATTCAGATTCAACAATGTGAAAGTTTTGAACGACTATAACTAGGAAAATTTTAAAATCGTGCAATAATGTCTCGATTTATCAATGGTATGGAACTGTTGAATACATTTATTCCTTATTATTGCCTTGTTAAACTTCAAACAGAAGTTTATGAAATTGGTTATAAATTCGATCTACTAACGGTTAACGGGAAATATAGTCGACACTTATATTGGCAGAGTATTGGCTGTAGAGTAAAATTTTTAGTCCTAATGAAAATATAATATATTATTGGAAAACTTTGAAATACAATTGCAAAGATGTTAACATCTGATAAAATTAAAGTTTAATTACCCAGAATAAATTAAATAAAGTTAATAAAATAAAATAAAATAAACTAACCACAAAGGTACTAAGATAAACGCGTGATATAAACTTAAGTAGATTAAACCGGTATTCTTCCGCTACTGAGTTTATTTATGTCAAAGCTTTTAATGGACATTCCAAATATTTGCGCGTTGTGTGGCTAGCCCGTCAAATACATAGATAAAGATATATTTAGGACGAGTCAGTAATGCATATTTCAAACGAGCGTCCATTCTAGTACCATTGGGAGAATTTAACAATAAATGCCTCTCCTAGATAAATTATAAAATAATATAAAAATGAATTATGCCACCAAGACTACCTTGAGTGCCATTGATGTTTGGACGAGTTTCATAGTAAACTTCTATATTTTCTTTAAAATTTATATCGATAGAAACCATGACATATTTTTTTTGTTATGCCTCGCAATATTTAGATTATAATTGTACAGGTATACACAAAAAGAATTGTAATTGTAAAGGTACCTATAATAAAGAACATAATGTGCATCCATTTAGTTTATTATCTTGTAATTTTCTATCGATAAAGCGATAATTGCATAAATTATCGCATTTTTAATAATTCATCATGATACGTTGCGATGTTACGATAATTGGTGAATGTGAGATTAATATCTTGAGAGGTTTCTTGTTAGGTGTAGCGACAGATTAGGCAAGTGCAAGGCCATCGTTCATGCCATTTTTATATCACTGTACTTATATAATTATTATACGTAGTGACTGTTATAGAATCTCGTTTGTATTGACGAAAAGCAAGATAATCATGCAACATGTGGAATGTACATTATTGGACGTAATTCATCGAGACATCAAGAAAATAATCATTAGGCATATTAGCGAAGCGTTGTTTGAAAGTTGTACGGTTAGGTTTTTTAACGACCGACCGCCGGTCATTGCAAAAAGGACCCAGATTGGAAACTATTACCCGGTCACACAAATACTTGTCCCGAAGGTATCAAACCCAAGATCCCTAGGGACAAAGCCTTAACTTAGCAATTGCGGCATCGGCATCGAGCCGTCCCTTATTAGTTGCCAGGATGAAAATGTGCAATTGATTTTACTGAAGACAATAATTACCATTTTATTTAATGTTCACCCGACTGCGCCAGAATGCAGGTATGTTTTTCGAGTTTTAAGTGCAAAGATTAGCACTATAAACAATTTAAATTTCTAAAAAAGCAATGGCGACATCTCTCGTTCGAATTATAGTTGTAAAACGATATTCGAAATTGTTTGTATGCTGGAAAGGATGTAACAATAGATGGCGCCAAAAGGCTTCAAATGCTAAGAAAACAATGTGGAAGAATGCGTTAAGATTTTCGTCGGTGTGGTAATCAGCCGTTTAGCTCAGTGGCCGAAGACGTGGGTTCGATTCCCACAGCGGCGACAATCTTTTCGCACTTTTTCTACATATTTTAATGTTCAATCTTAAGTGCAAAGGTTAGCACTATAAACAATTTAAATTTATATTATTTTTCTAAGTGGTGGCAAATTTTTTGCACTATAATGTTTTAAGCATAAAATTATGACCAAAGTTGTAATTAGGTCTTCTCGTGCTAAAAGTTTGCAAGAAAACATGACGAAGAATTATAGATTTTTACGTTATTTATTTTAATTTAAATTTCGCAGCAGACGTCCAGAATGTATCTTCGAAATATTGTATACGCATCTATTGTTTTTTATTCATAACTCTACAAAGTATTTTAATCAGAAAACGTTCCGTTGCCCCTCAGATAACACGAGTAGTTTCTGCGTTTCATATCTCGATTACAATCATAATTTTTATAAGATAAAAATCAATATCTGCGTCATTTATTGATCTGTCTGCGAGATTAGTGAAATTATTACGTTAATCTTCTTCCTGGAGCAATATTTTTCCTATCGGCCTATCATACATTGATACATATTTAATGCATTAAATAATAAATTATGTTACAATCTAAAATTTACAAAATCTACCTTAGAAACCATTATATTGGTTGACACAAATATTAAAATGTCTTCATTTTACTGTAAAGTCATGTCTTGAGATTTAAAAGCCTGCGTTGGGTTAAATTAAAGGAATTATTTCAATACAACCACACTTCACGATAGTTTTTGTCAAGTTTGGCATTTGCATCAATTCTCATCATATCTTATTTTTTGTATGTCGAAATTTTTCAAGCGAGCTGGCGGTACACCTGATATTAAGTGAATACCGCCCATAGACATTTTCAATATCCGATGGCTTTAAGATGCGTGGAGAACCTTCAGAAAAGTGGGCCCCGGTTACCTCACTCGACAGACGAAACGCGAAAGCTTAATACTTCCACTTAACGCTGGTCTTCTGTGAGGCCGTGGTGCTTCCCTACGACCCTGCCGTCACTTCTTATCTAGATGTTAAATCTAAAAGTTTTTTTTGTTTAATGAAGTTGACCCCGGCTGCCTACCTCACCAGACGAAACGCAGAAGTGTAGCACTATTATTAAACGCCGGTCTTCTGTGATCTGCCCATTCGTGCAACAGTGAATACTGTTGCGTGGTCCTACAGCGGTTAATAATAAAAGATTAGCCTCGCTGTTGTGTTCTTCTGTCAAGTGACGTATGCAAAAGACATGCAAATTTGGCAATGGTGTCATCGTGCTTTAATTAACATCCATTCATCCATTGATATTGTACCGCAAATTGTTTCTGTTATTAAATTAATTGTCTGCCTAGCAATCGCTTGTTGCGTCCGCGAAGAGTCTCCTCTTAATGTTCACGAAGAAGCAGAAGCCTGTTCCAACTGTGGATTTCAAGAGGGAGGTAGCACCTAGCAGGGCGCCCAGGATGCCGATGGGCCCTGGCGAGGATATCGAAGAAGCGGCACTCCTGTACACCACGCGGTTGGTCGGCTGCAGACTTCGGTAGTTGTCGACACCGCCAACGTTCACTTGGCGGAACGTTTTGTACTGGACGACGACAAGAATAGATTAATTGCCAGTTATTTTGTTATAACGCTGCAGCAACATTGGATCAGTGTTGCTAACATCGGAACAAAGCCAATGGACTTGATAAATTCACTGCTATTCATTAAATTTTAAAAATAAAGTTAAGAGAGTTTTGAAATTGCTCCAATGGATATAGTTTACATTAACTGTATCTTTATTATTCTAACTATATTTATCAATAGCCCTAACGCTAATCATTTGATTATAATAGTTAAATATGTTGGAAAGTCAATAGTAAGTAGAACAATTAAGTATTACTATAACTAACCTGAGAATCTGTTATACTGATGGGGCGGTCGTGGACTATCCACGTAACTACTTCCTGGCAGTCGGGAGTGGTCAGGGATCCGTGGTAGGTGTAGTAGGACTGCTGTTGCGGACTCATCAGACGACTGTTGAGAAAAGAGCAGTATAACTTATGTAATTTCGTTACAACCGACTCTCGCGCATGACATACTAGAAAGGTGGACAGAACACCAACTACCTTAAACAGTTTCTTAACTGACAACAAATGACGGACAATAAGTTTCTGCTTAAAAAATCCATCCGGAAAGCTCTATGGTGCGTCTTGTTGGGATTTGAACCTATAGCCATCAATCACAAGTCTCTAATTCTCTGGAATATGGATTTGTTCGGAAGCAATTTGCCGCAATGAAATATCCAACGTTAAGTAATCAATTACAATTTTGGTTCCTATTCATTATGTTCTGGTATTGATATAGCATGATACAGCATTGTTAGGTATCACGCGTACATGTTGTGAATTAAAATCTATTTATTAATGTCTGACCTCACAGAATTGCACGCGAATCCTATGTTTATGCAGCTGTGTAAAAATGATATTCAAAAGACGAATTAAAATTATTTGCTGCGAAGAGAATTCAAAATGATTGCAAGTGAAGTGAATTAAGCATTCATTGATTTTCATCGTTCGTCTGTTTGTTCTGCAAACTTTTTATGAATTGCTATTAATTTCGCCAACAATTGAAACGATAATAATTAATATAATTGAGTTTTTTTTATTGAATTTTACTGTTGCATAATAAAGCAGCAGTATTCGAAATATAAACCTTGTTTTTTTTAAATAAAATTTAAGAGTCGCGGATCTTTTTAATTATAGGTAATGTGTAATGTAGTGGTACTCGGAACCCGATAAACGCTTTCATGGAGAGCTCCATAAATTTTAAACAGAAGCCAGAGGTCAGAAATTTTGAAGTGTTTTCCGTTTGTATCAATAATTAACTTATTATAATATACGACAATTCTGAAAGTCGGTAATTCCAAATGATATGCAGCAAATAATCTTTAGGCAATAATTATTTCTTATAAAAATACAAAATTTGAATGAAGATAAAAAACAATATAGTCACGTAAACTAGCATGTTTTGGCTGCTTGAAATTCGTATATTTTAGGATTGGGGAAAACTGCCACGGGGCAATTTTGCGGATGCCGACGAAAATCTTAACGGCAAGATTTCCGTCGGCATGACAATATCCATTTAGCATAATGGTCAAAGCACTATAACTTAATATAAACATTTGAACTTTAGAACTCAGTTACGTAATTGCAAAGCGATTGATTCGGCGTGAGCGATCCGTGGTTCATGGATTCGAATCCAATCTGGGACATGTATTTGTGACCTTTTAGTGTTATGAATACCTTTTCGCCTACTTTGTGGTTGAAATATTTTTTTATTTGAAATAGATATAAAAAAGAGAAAGGAGATGCAAAATCTGTTGAAAAATAATTCAACTTGATGAAGTGACTTATGAGATGTATGGACAATGTTACTTACGTCATATCCAAAGTGATGGGTAATCCTTCTCCCTGTGTAGGGCTGAGCAGCGAAGGGAGCTGCGACTCTAACTCTTCGAGGTGATATTCGCTACCGTCACCAGCGTGCACCTGAGGGAAGAGTTTATCGTGAGAAAGTGATACAGCTAAATCTTCTTATATATCTAATTACGATATAATATTTATCATTAGTATCATCATCATTTCAGCTTGTTTGAGTTCACTGCTGAACATAGGCCTCCCCCATAGACCAATAATGGAATAATCGTTGGCGAAAACAAGTTCTCGAGTAGCAGCCTCGTACTGGCCATCGCAGTGTAGGACGATCCCTCACTATATGGAATGACGTCTAGGTGGATATATGGTGGACTATATGGAGTGGCACAGGATCGTGCTTCGTGTTAGACTATGGGGTAGGGCTTTATACTTATAATAACTCTATCATAATCGCGAATTTTAAATCCATTTGTGTCGGAAAAACGGAGAGTCCGGACATCCAAAGATCGGATGCTAATCATTGATTAGTTCGCAAGCATATATCATACAAAATAGCCATGACTCGGTAGCGCCGTTGCTAAGCTATTAGCTTCGACATTGGGGGCCGTGGTTCAAGGGGGCAGGACAAGTGTTTGTGTGACCCACAGATAATTGTTCCGCATCTGGTTGTTTGATTCCTGAGGATTAGTTAGGTAGGGGGGCGGACGTAATAATCATAGCCCAAACCGCTTCGAATAATTCACATGTTGTGTCGAGGCTACCTAAGCGGGATAAGGGCAGGAGGATGATGGTGGATTCTTCGCTCATGTTGAGTATATAAGTATTTCAGATTTTTGTTAAATTCATTGCGTCCACGACCTTTACCTGGCAGAGAACACCGACCACCGCAAGGCCGTCGGGCCTCTTCACGGCCTCCGCGGTCGTCAGTCCAGTTTTGACGTGCACCATGTGAATTTCCAACGGGTACCTGCGGATGGAACGCGTGATTCAGTCACATTAGCAACCTAAACTTGAGTGAAGCGCTCTTAGACTTGGAGTCCAATTGACTATGCCGGGTTGAGAATTTGGTGGAACAGTTAAGACGACTACGAAATTGTAGTCGTCTTATTTTAAGCGAATATTTTATATTGTCAAATGAAACTATTTTACGGAATTTATCGCATTTCGAAGCCTATCCAGCGTTCACGGTTACCGGCCACGTGAAGTTTCGAAACGCGATAAGATCCGTAAAATTGTTTCAATTAACAAGGCGGCTACTAGTAGATTTTTACTATCAAATAACAAATTTGACTTAAAATAACTAGCTCTGGCTATACATTTTCTAATTGATTTGAGGAGTTCTCTGATATATCTCTGGAAGTTCAGGCCCAGTACCAACGAAATTAATATGGGAGCTAGACTGAACCTAATCAAAAAATATCGATACCTACTCGATGTTTGGTGGCACTGTGCACCCACGTTTAACTATGTAGAAGAAATATTCACTTATAGTATTAGCAGACTAAGCGAAAAAAGAGAGCCTTTAAGATGTGGATCTTCGTTTCTCCTCTGTTTCCATCGAAGTATTTCTTTGTATATGGCACGGTACAAAGTAACTGGTCAGTTCCTTAGCAGTGTCGCGAGGCTGTCCAAACGTTTAATGGGACTGAGAGGATTATTGTAACTATGAAGCCTTTATAACCCAGTTTTATTCTAGGACGGTTCTTATTCAGTTTTATTCTCGGTATCCTTAAAAATTGTCCCTCCACACTTGCAAAAGGCTCTTTAATATTATACAGAGTACCATTAAATTTATCTAAAGGAACGTCAATATTTATTTAACGAGTTATACGTACTTCATGCCATCGATGGCGTGCTCTGAGAACCAGTGAAGATGGAACTGTATGAAGGTGTAGTTGCCACGCAGAGGGCCACCAGAAAGAACTGGTGCAACACTGTCTTCTTCCACCATCCACTTCACTGCACAGACGGTCAACGATTTTAAAAAGCTCATTCAATGCGATATAGATCTTTATTTCATCGAGTGTTTCAATATCTTATACTATTGGATCAATCTTTTTTTTATACTTTTAGGTCAATAAGAATCGTCGGTTTTTCATCTAGAAGAGTAACTGTTGAATATTTGTCAAAAAATTATCACGTGCAAGTGTGATTAAACATAATGAGAGGGCAGAGGTGTAGGTAGGGTTAATTATTCAGGATTAACTGATAATCGGATGAACAAATGTGTGTAGGTATAATATATACTTTTGTCGTAGACAGTTTCTTATTTATCCTTTCCTTGTCTCAATTAACATGTGAACCATTCTTGATGGTCTGACATCAGTCCTCCTAGGGTTTAGTCAGTTCTGGAACTGGCTGTTTATTCTCTTTCGTTAATTATCTTTCGGTCGCACAAACGTATCCTTCGTGGAAGTCGAATCCTTGATTGTCAAAACCGATGTCAATAGCGTGCGCCACCGAATCATAACAAATTACATTCGAAACTGCCGGTGGTAGTATTAACCGTGTCTTCGTTTCAGCTTTTTTTTTTTGAATGTGAAAAGTTGCTGAACGAACAGACGGTTCACCTGATGGTAAGTGAATACCACCGCTCACGGACATCTGCTACACCCGAGGGTTACATATGCGTTGACAACCTTTTGAAAATTGGGCTCCGGCTATCTCACTCACCAGACGAAACGCGAAAGTATTTGTCATACTTCCACTTTACGCTGGTCTTTTGTGAGGTTGTGGTACTTACCCGGACGGGCGTGCCCATTCGTGCAACAGCCGAGGCTGCTGCGTGGCCCTATCACCGGGTGCACCAGGCGGTAGAACCTCGTGGTTCATTACAGAAAAAAGGAATTAGTGATACTCACGCGTTCGCCCAGTGTTGCGGGCCTTAAGTTTGACGTTCCCATATCCTCGGAAGATCAGGGGCCCGCGGATGTGCGCTTGGTGCTTGTCCACGATGGCGTTCCTGCTCATGATGTTGATGGGCGACTGCTGGACCCCGCTCCGGCACTGGGTCGGCCATTGGGTTTGGTCTGAATGGAACACATCACTCTCTACTGATCTCTACTGATTTGGAAAACGATTTGCTAAATTTACGCGAATGCTGTTGGAACTGTTTGCGCAAAACTAAATTTTTCCCTTACCCTTTCTCAATCAGACAGCCAGACGCTCAGTAGGTCCTAATTATTTTTTGGTCAACATGCCTAGACGTGGTCTCAAGTTGAAGACCAAAAACGCGAGGTAAGACTCAACGAAAAGTCTGTTGCCCCAATGTTCTATTTTGCTCGACACGTAACCATCTTATTGCCATTTTATTAGGTCGGCTTGGTTAATGGGAAAATATTTTTTGTGAATTTGGCGATTTGGTTGATGGGAAAATGTTTTTTGTATAAGTACCGAAATAAATCGGGATAATAAAGGTCGTTTTAGTAATTTGGGTTTTGCCGCCAAATCTAAATAGACACGAAATGGTGTAATATCACTCTTAATAGTACTTACATTTGTACGACCATTCGGAAGCGGATGAATCACTGTTCACGTATCCTGCAACAATAACAGATCTAAGATAAAGACATGTCGATGTTTTCGTTGTTACAATTATTACATCCAGTAAAAGATATTTTTAAAATTTAATCGCTCTGATACTGTTAATTCACATTTTTACAAAACTCGGATGAAGCTGATAACGCTTTTTTAAAAGGAAACATAAATCGAGGAACGCACCATAAAATTATGAAATCAATACTAATAAATACGTTTGTCTTACAAAAATTTGTGATTGTCACAAAATATATATATAAGAAATCCGAAAACTAGGAATGCTTATTTGTTCCCACTATATTGAATCGAATTCTTGAAACAGAAAATGTATAATATTCCAAGATATACATTAAGATGTCGTTAATGTAACATAAGTTCTATATATCGAAGAACCTGGAAGGTTGGAGACAGATGCAAAAAACTTATGAAATGTATTTCTCACAGTTATTCTTCTCATCTTCATAGTTATTTATTCCATACATCTACACTCCATACTCTTATTAAACTTTAGCACCGTTCTGGTAACTTACATAATTTATATATATAAAATTTAATGGACATCTTTCAGTTAAAACACAAATGATACTTTTTACCACCACACGTCATAGGTTCAATTCTTAATGACGATATACTAAGTATTAACGTAGGTTCAACACCTATCGTCATTTGGACAACCTACAGTGAAAAGAGAATAGCAGGTATCTCCTCCCATCCAATCAAAGAAGTCTTACAATGAAATAAGAAGCAGCGTGTTTCGGAGAAGTATTTCGGTATATGATAATTATGTTGGTCCATTACTTATCCGGAACCTATATTTTTTGACTTAAAGACAATGGTATGGCCCAGCAAAGCGGGCGGGAGACAGCTAGCATATGATAAAACTAAAGTATTATTTGAGTGTTTGGATGAGAAACTCGAAGTAGTAACGACGATTTCTGAAGGTAGTCTACATAAAAACACTTCACACAATCATAAGGTATATGTTTTAAAACGTTATCTAAACGTTAAATGGTTGGAATTTTACTAAAGTTTACATAATATCACAAAGAAGTATTTTTTTATCTTGTTGGTACGACAGGGAGGTAAACATTTAAATATCATATTAGGAAAATTTTGGGACACATGGTTGCATGGAGCAGTGGTCACTTGGTTTTCGCCGCGTTCCCGGACGGTTATATAACCACTAGTGCTGCTTGTCCTTATAATAGTTGTTAATATTCATGTTCAGTAATAGTTAAAATATTAGAATCAAGGTAAAATCGTGAGAACTCTTATAAAATATATTTTCGGATATAACTTAGAAACTATACCTTATATGTGAAAAGATGCATATGTATTTAAATAATTCCTCATACTATTGTCATGTTATTGTATGGATGTACTTTTTTGAAGATAGTGAAAGAACAAATTGATTTTTATCGTGCTAATCAAATATCTAATATAAAGATAGATTGCTATCTACCGTCAAAACATACAGATACTGTAGTTGTAAGTTTCACTGACCTAGTGTGTCAATTACCTTTGTTTATAAACAAAAGTAGTACGGAAGACATAGGTTTTGCTCTGCGAAGTGATTTCGATGCCCATTCGTTTAAAACACCAGGGTGGTTGTTGCTGCCTTGAATTTATTTAGTGCTGTGGTATTCGTTTACTTCGATTTCTTCAAAAAAAAATATTTTAATTTTTTTTAAAACATTGCACTTACTTTAGGATAACATTATCCTGTGTTGTAAGGACGTTTTACAAACATAAATTTCACGAGGACAAACACCCAGATGCGAAACAACTATCTGTGGGTCGCACAAATAGTTGTCCCGCGTGGGAATCGCACCCACGACCCCGAAACCGGACGCCGAAGCCAATACCTTGGGAATTGCGCCACGGAGTCATAGAAAAAATCACGAAGATAAAAACCGCAATAAATAGTAAGGCAGAAGCTGCTTGTTTGAACAGTTTAATATCAGAGCAGTTACGGCGTTTCTATATCAGCAGTTCTAAATTGGTTGCCGAACGGGATTATTCTACAAAGTAATAGTCTCGTGATTATTATGATAGGGTTAATACTATTGATACTCACGTAGGCTAAAGTAATACACCTATCCTATTATACTGTAAACTAATCGTTTAAAAAAAAGAGCAACTGTTGAGTTTCTTGCCGGTTTCTTCTCAACAGAAATCGCTTTCCGAACCGGTGGTGGCTTACTTACGAACGTATTAATTATTATTTAAAATGTTGACATTTCATAAGAACATATTGAACATAGCGAATAAATATATTTTTGATTTTGATTTTGATTTGATTATAGATCCTTATTGTTCATAAACCAATATCCTTATCCGGTCTTATTTTATGTAACTGGACAGCAAATGTACTTAAAAAGTAAAAATAGTAAAGTAACTGATTTCTGAAATTAGCCTATATACAAGTCCCTCTGCTGGGCAAAGGGCTCCTCTGTACAGAGTGTATTAGGGCATAGTCCTCCACGCGACCTCACTGCGGATTAGCTGTCTTAACGTTTCTTCGAAATATTTTTTGTTTTTTGTTATGTTGGCAACACGTTGAAGTGTCATTCTACGTGGTATTAATTAAGTAGCACGAAACATTTTTTTTGACGTTCTTCGCTGCCAAGAAGTATACGCGATAGTGCTGCCCAACAGGTACCATAAATTAATTATTTATTAAAATGGTGATTTTACTGTCTAAAACTGAACATGAAGTATGACGGTAATTTGATAAAAGTATTTATTTTCCTACCTTCTTAGCTCAATAAAACAAAGACAAGTTAGAAAGACAGTTATATTTCGAAAATATGCAGGTGTCCTCAAAATGTTTTCCTTCACCACTGAGCACGTAAAAACATGATATAAAATATTAAGTAATTAACAATTTCTCAGGTGCCGGGATTAGAAGTCTGGCTGCTCGAGTATACCTGAATTAATAGCGAGTTCCCGGACACTGCTCTCATGGCTCTGACTAATTAATACAATTACTGCATAATGTGTTTTAATATCCGACATTTGTGAACACAGTCACGTTTCTATCATAGTGATATATTGGCTACCTCTATTTACTCCTTACCCTACCCACTTAGATAACAACGTCTTTTCGAACTTACAGCTGGAAGATATTCAAAGCAAGGATACGTGTAAAACACAAGGCGATAACTGTTCAGAACGACATTGAGCTATCATTTCCTAATTGTGTTCTATGTTCTATTTCTATCTACTGTTCTTCAATACAGGGTAACTATATAGAATTGTATGTATGTAATAATTACCTACATACTGCAAAAGGTCGCTGTTGTATTATATATTATCGAAATTCGCCGATAACTTTCCTGATAATTTTACACATCAATAAATAATTCAGAATGAAATGCAATTCTGCTCTACACAATAAGAATGATCAAATTAACATCTAATACATATCAAATATATCTAATACCGGCCCACGGGTTTTATTAACTAAGTCTATTTTTTTTAAAACGTTACCCCTTTAGGATTTTATTACTGGCTTTTTTTAAAGTTTAGCAAAAACAAATTTAAACAAGGACACATCAATCCATCGATCCTTTCCGCTGAGGTCTATCCTTTAAATGGCCCAAAAATATTTCATTTTACTTTTCTTACGAATCGTTATTGCGATTGTAATACGAATATTTGTCTGCTAGGATGACGCAATAGTTTTAAACATTGTTTACTTTCTTCTCAATATTATAAACCTCGTAGTTTCTTTTTTTAATCAAATGTTTGACTTTGACCTTGAATCGGTCAACTGCCCATATTTGCTAGAGTGTGGCCAGCCCTGGGTTTGAACCCCGTGTAAATTGAAGATTTGTGAGATCCAGAAAAAACTGTTCCGAGACCGGATGTACTGTGTTCACGATTTTTCGAATGATCATTCCGCATTTTATATGTCTTCAATTAGTATTATCATTGGTTGATGCCTTAGTGTCGGATTGGTGTTTTAATTTTTTTACTAATATTAAATATGATACGTAGTTACCGTGGTGGGCCAAGAGGCGTTTTGACCTCCAAATATAAATTATTTTAGTAAGTATTTAGTTTTTATCATAGTGTATTGTTGTCTACATGGAATTTTGATAAAAAAAATATTATAGTTGTAAATTGTTTTCGCCTGGTCAGATTTTTTCTACTCAAAAAGGGGTCTTAGAATATCTAAGGCATAAAATAAGGCAGGACGACTAAAATTTAGAAGCAGATGGTCAGGAAATTGAGCAAAAAATCCGCATAAAAATATTTTTCATTTTATAATATTCATATAAATGTTTGTCGATTTATTTTACGGTTAATGCAGTTAATGACAATCTCTTAGTTGCAATACACACACGTGGCGTTGATATATAACATACTGTTGCTCGCCCTCGACACAAGGTAGTACTATACAAGGTAGTACTACACAAGGTAGTACACAAGGTAGTGCCCCATTCTAGGGCGGTTCTCATCGCTCTCAGGGAACGAATAACACAGTGGACCTCTACGGCCCATAGCATACAACCCCTTATTTTGGTAATGCTCGCATGCCGTGATAGCTCATTGTCCCGGCGCTCGATTTTAACTCGAGCAACCTGAGTTCAATCCCCGGTGCCGGCACTAATGAAATTGTTAATTTTAAGTGCTGACTTATAACGTGGTCAGCGGTGAAGGAAAACATCGCGAGGAAACTTGCGTATTTTCGAAATAATAATAATAATAAAATATTTCGAAGATATGTGCTACCCGCCAATGCGCAGTGGGTCGCGTGGAGGACTATAACCTAACACCCTCCATACAGAGAAGGTCTTTGTACAGCAGTGGGACAGATATAGATTGTTACTTTACTCCTTTTTTAGGCAGTTCCACATACGTGACACCCGATTGGCGTGGGGAACTAGTAAAATATTGTGTGATGAACATAGTATTTTGCAGTGTCTGTGTGTATATATATATGTAATTGTATTTATTTATAAAAGAAAAGTATGTATAACACTTTTCTAGTACCCATAGTACAAGCGTTGCTTAGTTTGTGACTAGACAACATTGTGTAAAAAAGTGTCCGAAAATTTAATCAAGTTATTATGTAATTAAAAATTAAGTCTAAAGCTATGACAAATTAGTTTATTTTATTCGATAAAATTTTCATATTTAAGACATTTATATTGGACGTTATTTGAGGTCGCACTCAGACTTACTTTGTTACTTTACTCTGTTCACTTATTCTGAAAGAAAATAAATACCCATGTATAGGTTCTATCTATTGGTGCATAGTTCGCGGACATACTGCAACTTTTTTATTATTAAGAATATATGCAGGTTTCCTCACGATGTGTTTCTTCACCACCGTCCACAGGCTTAATCAGAATTTAATTAACATTTTCGCTGGTGCCAGCATCCGGGCTGGATCTCATATTGCTCGGGAATATTTAAGTAGAATGACCACTACAAAATTTGTCCGATAATTGGAATATTACAATTGATTTTTCTCAACGCCGTAGAGCAATGGATTAATGCGATAGTTTGTTAAATATGCAGTTTACATTTCTACCTGTAAACACAACTACTACCGTCACAATAACTAAAATTTCGTAAATTTTCGTAGTTTCTACTAGTATTAATGAATTTTTTTTACGAAAGTGGAAGATCAGACCTTGCTCCTTTCTTCCACGCTCCCTCTATCCTTAAGCTTGACACATACGTTGGGAATTGGTGTACAGAGTATTATAAGTGGGCCAATACTAAGTCTCGGCGTTAATTTAAAAAGTCGGAGTTGTTTAAAAGTCTGAGAGTTACATACAAAATTGCTTAATTAACTGTTTTTTTTTAAAGTTGAATAAAACGTAGCCTCTACGGAATTCTCGGATCATAAATGAAACTTTAAAATTTTATAAACTATATTTTTAACTTCAAATCTTTCAGACAACAATACAATATTCAAAGTCACGGAATAGAATCAAGTTTAAACTCGATAAAGTCTGCAGTGTAGCGTGTAGCCAAATATATATATGGTCTCCGCCTAAATAAAATGAAGCTTCATAATAAATATTAATATAATTATGTAAAAATCCATCGAAGGTAAGCAGAACTTTTATTTTATTAACATTAACTTATATTTAATCTTAAGTGTGTATATATAAATATTTTTGGAAAGGAGTTTCATTGATCATACTATCGTTTTGGTACTTTTTTAAGAAAGATACAAATAACAATAACTGATTTGCAGCAAAAATTTGTAAATGACTGAACTTATTATCATTTATTTTAATTGTTTTGAAATCAGGAAAAAATGTTATGATTGCGGACTTGATATCGCAAAATTTATTCTTTTGTTTCAGTATCGAGGATGTCGTGCGTACGTTTGCATCATATTGTAACTTAGAACCTATAACAATTTAAGAATGGATAGAATTAATTTTAAAATATTTTATCCAGAAATACGTATTTCGCCCCGATAAGCACTTTTTAAATTATTACAGTTAAATTATCAAAATATTTATCTAACACTTACCGACTATTCCTAAAAAATAAGCCGTCAAAAGGATCTTCATTGTAATTTTTAAAAGTTATAGTCCAAACTAAAATACTCTATTGCGAGCAATACGTTATGGCATTTGATGACAATTCGCGTATGTAATTATTGTGAACGCACGTCGCGAATGCCAGAGAGGAACTGAAAATAATCTCGATGGTTTTACTTATATAGGCGGCATTATTTATTTACTTTTTTTTTCGCAAAACGTGCGTGCGCCATTTTTATCGGGCCGGGTACGGTCGGCAAGAACAGTGGGCACTGCAACGAGGCGGCGGCGTCTAGTACGTGGCGATAAGTTGAGCGCGAGACACACTGCTCGCTGGAATGCGGAGCCAAATTTAAAGCGAACTATTGTAAGCAACAGGTCGCTTTAAATTCGCTTTTATATAGGTTTAAGAAGCTTGAGAAGAATATAAAATCTAATTGCAAATTTAGAAGTTGAACACAAGTAAGTATTGAGTACTACTTTTTTATGTGAACAGTTGATAATAGAGCAGGGGGTTGGCGTGATTATCGCCGCATGTGGACCAACTTCAATACCACTTCTATTGAGAGTGTATGTAGATGTCTTGCCACCCATTAAAAAACCTTTATGTCCCTTTAAAACGTAGGTCTGTTGTTGAAGTATTTTTCTACTTCACGCTGGTCTTTCGTGAGGCCGTTGTATTAACTCGGACGAGCTTGACCCTTTGTAGAATAGCGGAAGTTGCTGCAAGACCCTACCACACTAGTGTTCCAATGGAGTTCCAGTAAGTAACAATAAAATGTATGGATACTCTCTCTTATTCGGCGGGTCTGTAAGACCAGTCTTTCTATTTATCGAGCACCCTCAGTCCTATTTGATATTTCATTTATGAGCCATGTATGTTTTGACCAACAAAAAAGTAAGCGTGTAAAACATTGAATTATATCAATAGAACCCTTTTTATTTGACGGAGGATGGTACTGATAAATTAATGATAAATTAAAGATGTCCAAAAGAATGTGAGATACATCATGGTAAGTAATCACCGCCAACAGTGGACGTCGGTAGCATAAAGAGGCGATGGAAACCTTGACAACCCGAAAGAGGCTAAGTTGCCGGTAGTAACTAAACACTAACACTTCAAATTTGTCTTCACTGAGACCGGGGCAATTCCCTGATTGAAGTCTTCCAGCTGAAGCCGCTGAGTTATTATCATTGTAACTATTACATTCAAATTGTCATTGCTTGTTTCACGTCAAATTCTTGTATATTAAACGTCTTAACACGAAAAGGTGTGTAAAGATACTTTTCAAACAATTGTAAAGTAACATTCGTTTGGTGTCACGGGTAAGGGAAAGGTTTTTTGTAAAGAGATATAAAAGAGGTTATGTTCTTATCAATGCATTTTTTTCTGTCAGAAGTTGCCAAGCGAGCAGATGGTTCACCTGATGGTTAGTGAATACCACCACCCATGGACATCTGCCACACCCGAGGGCTACAGATGCGCCGACAACCTTTTGAAAATTGGGCTCCGGTTACCTCACTCACCAGACGAAACGCGAAAGTATTTGTCATACTTACACTTTACACTGGTCTTCTGTGAGGCCGTGGTACTTACCTGGACGGGCCTGCCCATTCGTGCAACAGCCGAGGCTACTGCGTGGCCCTACCACCGCATATGAAATTAATTGACAGGTGTGTTTTAAGGCTGATGTTTTCGTGTGGAGTACGGTACCGAACTATCGAGGTGACGTGGGGCTTTCCACTGGGTTCTATGTTAAGGCTGCTCTTGTGGAACATAGGTTACGACTGGGCGCTTTTTTATGTGAAAAGTTGCCAAGCGAGCAGGTAGTTCACCTGATGTTAAGTGAATACTCTAGCCCATGGACGTTTGCTACAACCAAGGGTTTGCAGATGCGTTGACAACCTTTTGAAAATTGGCCCCCGGCTACATCGCTCACCAGACGAAATGCGAAAGTATTATACTTCCACTTTACGCCGGTCTTCTGTGAGGTCATGGTACTTACCCGGACGAGCCTGCCTAATTGTTCAACAGCCGAGGCTGCTGCGTGGCCCTACCACCGTTAACGCTACGGGATGCCTATAATTACAATAATAATTTTTGCTGGGCCGCAATTCTTACACAATGGAAGTGGCGTATTTCGACCTAACCCCAGATTGCTGATAGGGATTCTGTGCTAAGCTCTTTAGTAGCGAAAGCAGCGGTAGTTCTCGGAAGACTGTTCCTGAAGTTGGCGGTTTCAAAGACCCGCCGTCGTTTACACGATAAGTTGTGCCGTCTACGGAGCACCTATGTTGGTGACCCGTTGTATTAAAACACTTAAAGGGTAACGGCTGGAGGTGATCGCTCACACAGTACAATTTTCAAAAGGTTGTCAACGTATCTGGAACCCTCGGGTGTAGTAGATGTTCGTGGGCGGCCTATTCACTTAACTTCAGGTGAACCATCTGCTCGCTTGGCAACTTTAAACATAAAAAAAGAAAGGGAATCGCGTTGGTCTCTTCCTATCGTGGCGAAGGGATCTAAAATTTGACGTGCGGAAATAAGGGCCAGATAGATGACATCGCGCACAAAAACGTATCAGGAAAAGCGGCCAGGACTTTTTTGATATTCAAGCGACATGAAATATACACTTTATCGTATGTATTCTTATCGTTAATCATTATAAAACTTCCTTAATTATTTACTCATAAATAATGCCATTGCTAAAATTAGAAACATTATCAATTGCCGATAGCATGCAGATAAAAATGCTTTTATGCTATGGTTAATATTGCATTAAATTCTTCTTGTGCTATCTTAAGTACAGATGTACAAAACATACCTGCATTATTTTATTTTTAAGCGAAGTATATCTTCTTAAGTGTGCGTTACGTTAGAAATATAAATCTCCTTACGTGTGCACTTAAGCAAACGCACAATTTTTTTGACAAAACACCGACACGTACGTTCACCTAAGTGCAGAGACTAGCAGGAAATTTAAATGTGATTAGTTGTATGAGAGGGTTATGAAAGTGGAACACTGGTCTCACCTGCTGCGGGAAACGAATTTCGCTGATGCACGATATAACTATTGGATAGTGTTATATTATAATAGTCGATTGAGTTATCGAAATATACACAAGTTATAAAAGAAAAAAATTGTTTTTCATTTTTATAGAAATAATAAACAAAAAAAAATTTTTAGTAAATAGAAAAACTTATGATTTTCCAAAATATCATTGGATTCTCAGTTATTATAATTCTTTTACCACTACGTGGAAGATCTTATCCGTCTAAAATAGGGCGATATTCAGAGTTACAGTGTTAATACATTTATATTAACGTAGATAAATGTAGGCATGATAATTTATACATCGAATATTAGTATTGCATTAGCAATGTCTAATAATAAATCAATCAATTATAATAATTTTGCATTACTATTACAAGTACATGTTATAATATCTTTAATATAATTTCACGTATGATATGTCACGTATATTGTCACATTTTTCCTCTCACTTTCCTGTAATTTGTGACAGTGACTTTGTAAAATGGGACGGAAGTGTGTAAATAGTGGTTTTTACGGTGGTAGGCCCACACAGCAGTCTCGGCTGTTGCACGAATGGGCAGGCTAGTCCGGGTAAGTACCACGACCTCATAGAAGACCGGCGTAAAGTGGAAGTATAATACTTCCGCGTTTCGTTTAGTAAGTGAGGTGGCCGGAGTCCAATTTTCAAAAGGTTGTCAACGCATCTGGATCCCTCGGGTGTAACAGATGTCCATGAGCGGCGGTATTCATCAGGTAAACCGTCTGCTCGCTTGGCAACTTTTCACGTAAAAAAAAAAAGCACGCGGTGCTAGTCTTGGCGGTCACATGTCACATGTGCGCTGTGTATTCAAAGTGGTGTAATTTCAATTAATTTATATCAACGGCCTAATCGCCGTACCCTAATGGGTCACAGTCCACACCGAACCTCGATGGCCCGTAACGTTAACGCAAACTTGAGCACATGCGCGGCCCTCCCCACTGCGGAGGGCCTCAAACCCATGTGTTCTGGCTAGCCCACGGATCTGCGTTTGAAGAAGCTTAGTATAAGGACTGAAAGTGTTAACATCAGTTATAGAAAATACAAAATAATGATTTATGTATGTGTATTCTCCATTATAAAGAGATGAAATAAGAAGTAAGAAGGACTGGAAAAAGTGCAGATTATGAATAAAAATGCAAGTGAGCTAATAAATCAATTATAATGAAATGTTGGATTTTTTTAAATATATTAGAATTGTTTTTATTACATATTTTTAATTTAGAAAAAAAAAGTAATAAAATACGATTTTCGCAAAAAAAGTTTTCATAGTTACGAAAAACTGTCTTATATTACTTTTATTTTTTTATTTTACTTTTACTTTTATGATTGATGATAAATTGTAAGCGATTGCATTTTTATAACAAATATAATGCGATATTCCATATAAAACAACCCTTTCATACCGATCACGGTTTTAGCCTCCTTTCTTCAAGAGGAATTTTGTATGTAAAATAATTTAAATTCAAAGTCAAGATTTCTTTATACATTTCGTATAAAGAAATTGACTGTATTGAATTGAGTGTATTTAAATAAAAAAATTGACTTGTTTTTTAAAATATACAGCGTGTCGTTACAACCGCGACTATAAATTAAAACACGTCTAACGCTACTTGCCAATAATCATTAAAAAATATTAACGTTAAAAAAATACATTATTAAAAAAATATTTTTCAAACAAAGTAATTAAATAAAAACGAAAAAAAAAAATTGAAACATCCTATACAACTACAACTGACTGATTCATGCATTCAGACACTTTCTCATTCGTTGCCGCAGCGTCGCACTACTAATCTCTCCTTCTAACAGTATGTTTTATCTCTTTCAAATTCATTCAACCCAATCATATGCTTTGTGACCTTTACAAATGAAATTTACGTTACCGTTTTATACGTAAGGGTGTTCTAAAATTGTTTGTTTTGGAGAATTTAATAACTCGGTAAATATTGATGTTTAAA